GTTCTTGTTTATCTCACTCTAAAACTTGCGGTCCTTCTCCTTTGTTTTACACTTTCTATTCCTAGTTTCATTCATCCCGCTTAAATGATGCTTTCATATACATTTTTACTCAAGATTAGTACTATGATTATTATCAGAAGGGGGTTTTGCGGAGACTTTAGTAATATAATAGTTGAATTCACGAGTGGATTAAAGCTAGATCACCGTGAAAAACCTGTAAGCAGTAGATAGCGACGAGCGACATCGTGGATGGGCACTTCCGAAAAGGATCATAATAAGACGAAACGGTCGTCCAGTACTTCTATGTTGGTTCAACTTTAATTGACTCATGAATTGGATAATTTGTTCTTTATCCATTATTTTTATCCTCTATTTATTACAATCATTTACTAGTTATTTAATTGAGATCGTGAACTGATAGATATTAGATCACCATTGAAAACCTGAGAGCACTGGGCAACTGTTTCCTCTTATTGTGAAACTCCTACAGCAGTAAGCATCCACAATCCCACTCTCGAAATTCAAACCTAAGCCCTTCCGTCTTGCGCTCAAACGCTTAAACTTTAGACCACTGAGTAGGCATCCAATGATGTTCATGTCTAACCTCAACCAATCCACAAAACTGTGTGACCATCATCCATTGCACTGAGGTATTTATTTATTTATTTTACCACAGATATTGGTACAAGGAGGCACCAAATACATATGCGACATGTGTCAGGGCTGTGATACTGCCCAGGTGCGCAAACCGAAGCAGGTGGTTTTCTTAGAGGGCCACTCCCCGAGCCTTCGACCTGAAGGTCTGATCCACAAGGCAGTGGAACATGGTGAGGAGATGCATTCCCATGGAAGTCGGTGACCAACAATTGGTTCATACGCCATTTGTTCCCGCGGGATACTGGAGCCCATGTGCATCATTGGTTTGCACTGAGGTAGAGATACCTGTCTCTACCCGACAAAGATGAACTCCACAACCTTATGCTGATCCGAATCATTTATTTTATATTACATCAGTCAGTCAGTCAGTCAGTAACAACGTAGAACTTCGTACGTACGTACATCAGTTCGAGTTGCCACACCACATTAGCACAGAGATGCAGTTGTCGATTCAAATCCCGTAGTGGTAGAGGTAGCAAGAGTATAAGCAGTAATCGGGAAGATTAGGGTTTGGAGATGTTATTTAAAGAGTATAATCCAGTGAAATAAATTTGGAAAGAGAAAAAAAGGGACATGAAGAATTCAGAAGATTAGAATTTGGGAGAACACAGAGAGTGGATGCACCTGCGCCATTGCAAACGATTTTGAGCCATGTCATTCAGGGTCTCTAACCATCGGTTGCTATCATCTCGCGGTCCCCAACCAGGTAGTCTACACCTACCAACATGACTCAGTCCACTTGTCAGTGACTTCATGGACTTGTGCCATGTTTTGGTTTGGCCGCCCCTAGCTTTCTTCCAACCTACTCCTATACCACTGAACATAGCACGTCGAGGCAGTCGGTCGTTGGGCATACGTAACACGTGTCCCAGCCATCTCAACTGATGAAGTTTCACTACTTCATCAATTGATTTGCCATCCTTACCTAGTACCCGTTTCCTAACAACTGTTACTTACTCGATGGTCCCATGATATACGAGCAATGTTTCGAAGACACCTATGATCAAATACTAGTAACCTACGAATATCCTCTACTCTTACCGGCCATGTTTCACTGCCATAAAGTAGGACGGAACGAACTGCTGCGCAGTAAACCCGTCCTTTGGTTGATAGACGGATATCTCGCCTACGCCATAAATGACGCAAGTTGGCAAAAGCTAGTCGAGCCTTCTGTATCCGTGCTGAGATTTCGTCACACACTAAACCACAAGGGCTGATGAGACTTCCAAGATAAGTGAAGCGGTCGACACACTCAACTACTTCACTCCCTATCACTAGTTCGGGTGTCGATGTAACCCAATCCTGAAGCAACATTTTGCATTTCGAGGGAGAGAATCGCATCCCGAACATGCTTGCATTGTTGCTTAGAGTGGTCAGAAGACTCTGCATTTTGTCAGCGTCTTCACCAAATAAAACTATGTCATCAGCATATTCTAAGTCAACAAGTGAACCTCCCGGTAGAAGTTCAACCCCTGGAAATTTAGATGAGGAGAGTGTTATCTCTAAAAGTACGTCGACCACAAAGTTGAACAAGAATGGGGAGAGTGGACAGCCCTGACGAACACCACTTGAGGTAATCAATTCTGATGACAGTTCGCCATAAGCTCTCACTCTACCAGTTGTGTTCGAGTAGAGAGCCTTTATAAGGTTAATGTACTTCTTTGGTACTCCTTTCAGTGACAAACACTGCCATAGAACCTCACGATCAACAGAGTCGAATGCCGCCTTAAGGTCGAGAAATACTACCATTGTGGGGCGTCTGAATGTGTGTCTGTGTTCTAGAACCTGACGTAGTGTGAATATCTGATCTATACAACCACGTCCAGGTCGAAAACCGGCCTGGTTTTCTCTAATCTGCTCTTCACGAGCTTTGGTTAGGCGTCGAAGTATTATTGAAGCTAATATTTTAGACACTATATTAGTCAAACTGATTCCTCTGTGATTGTCACAAGAGGACTTTTGTCCTTTCTTATAGACTGGCACAATCAGTGATTGAGACCAGTCAGATGGGATTACGTCCAGTTCCCAAATTCTACCTAAGACCTCAGTTAATCTCATTGCTAATACTGGACCACCATCCTTAAAAATCTCAGGAGTAAACCTGTCAGGGCCTGCTGCTCTCCCTCGTTTCAGATTTCCTATGGCTTTTTCAACTTCGTAAAGGGACGGAGGACCTACATTAACTTGCCATTCAGGTTGACTAGAGATCGTGGGAAACCGAAGTGTGGCTGAAGGCCAGTTGAACTGATCCCTAAAGTGTTCTGCCCATCGATCCAATCTCCTGGATTGAGAATGAATAATATGTCCATCTTTCTCTGAGATTGTTTCGCTAACGGTCGGGTTCCTAATTCCGGTTTCCTTAACGAGTCTGAACAATTGTCTGCTATTACCTATTGCCGCTGCCTTTTCCATCTCTCTTGCTTTCGCTACCCACCACTGTTCGCGATCATTGCGTAGACTTCTTGTCAGCTTGCGCTTAAGCTGACTCCGCTCTTCATTATGTTCAGAGCCAGGTGGAATGAGTTTCCGAGCATCTATCAGTGCGATAGATGCTGCTGAGATCCAGTGTTGCTCCCTAACCTTCTGGTTTACCTTACTAGCAGATATCACTGCTGTTTCCACAGCTTTTCGGATATCATTCCATGCTGCATCGGGGTGGGCATCACATACATGGCTGCCTAACTGTTTTCCTAGTTGTTCCTGAAATATACTCTTAGCTTGACTATCATTAAGTAGGCCCTAAGAGGTTTCCTTGCAGCGTCTTTCCTACGTCCAGTAAGACGCAAGCAAATACGCGCTCGCACTAGAGCATGATCTGAATCTAGGCATGTGCTCCAGAATGAGCGACAGTCTTCTATCGAGCCCCTCCATCGGTGGCTGATAGCGATGTGATCTATTTGGGTCCAACGTTGGGACGAATTAGGGGGTCGCCATGTTAAAAGATGTTTTTCCTTATGCTTAAAGTTAGTATTTGCAAGGAACAGGCGGTTATCTGAGCATAGCTGCAACAGACGGTCGCCATTATCTGTTCTTTGAGCCACGACACCATAAGATCCACCTAGGTGTCTTTCCCTATCGCTTAGTTTACCTACTTGAGCATTAAAGTCACCGGCCACTATTACTACATCCGAGCGCCTAGCTTTTCGGAGAAGGTCCGAAAGCTTTCTGTAAAACTCATCTTTTACATCATCTGAGCTGCAGTCAGTGGGAGAATAGGCAGAGACGACGAAGAGGCAACGACGAGTGTCCCTATCTTTCCGGATTCTTACTGTTCCGTTCAGTCGGACAGCGCACAAACGACTGTCTACTGGGATCCACTCTAAGAGAGCTAGTTCTGCCCTAGGACTCAATGCTATACCTACGCCGGCGAGGCCACGGGAAGCAGAATCAGGGCTTCCAGATACACGAAGCGTAAATCGAGTCGGTTCTTTATTTTGGCATGGTGAGGTCAAATGAATGACGCTACTTGGATCCTGTATGCGCGTTTCGGAGACGCAGCACACATCGATGGCGCGAGATTCTAAAGTTTTAGCTAAGGAAGCCTGCTGTCCTATTTGGCAAAGTGTTCGTACGTTAAAAGCTCCTACGTGTAGTTTAGAGCGTGGTTTCAGGAGACCAGGAATGGCGTTCCACGTACTCGAATCGTTTGCCCTAGCGGTGCGAGGTGATAAAGAGACGTGAGGAGGGTTAGTCATGGAGATAAGAGAGGTATTAGGAGGTGTAGGAAGGATTTGAATGTGACCACCTTGGTCTCTTGTGCTGTTACGGGTATGAGGGCTGATGTCACTTCCCGGCTGCCCACACCGTGGAAGGGTATTTCTTGAGGAACCTGAAAAGGAAATTGGATTAGTGTTGGTCTTGACGACCTGGGAGCGTGACCGCAGAGCCCAAGGGACAACTGCTTGAGGCCGGTCGCGCACGGCCTTTTTGTGGAAGGTTTTTGACGTGTTAGCTCCGTTCTTCAAAGGGCCTTACCGCCGGAGACGGAAATCCGTGAGGTAAGGTGAGGTGTGACATTTTTAGGGTCGACCTTTTCTAACCCCACCCCTCCTTGTGGGAAGGCAGCATCGCTGTCATGCTGGTTGTCCGAAGGAAACACCTTACTGCTGTCACACCCCTCTACAGTCAGCAGTACGACTTCGCCCTCAGACCTTGAGTTGCTGCTTTTAGTCTTACCGTTCACCAATCGACCTGCCTGGCATGGTAGAACCTACAGGAACATATGTTCCAGCCAATATAGCTCGGTTGGGTCATCACGATAGGCAAGCCCGACCACCGCGTCAAGGTAGCAGCTTCGGTCGGGTTTATATTACATCATTATAACATATAAACTTTCTATTTACCTGTAAACACATTGATAAACCAATACTTGCTTCTAAATTGTATTTATCTAATTTTAAAGCAAATTCATATTCATTCAATGCTTGATTCCAAAGATTCTTTGAATTCGTTTCATTCATTTTGATTTTATAACCTTCATAATCCATTAAACAATTAGCATATGCAATATATCCTTTTAAAAAATTTGGTTGTTGAATTGTTAAATTATGCAATATCTGTTCGGCTTCAGGATACATTTCAAGTCTAATAATAATAGTAATATAATGAGTAAAAGGGAATATAACAAGAACGAACTCAGATGATACTTGTGTTTACAGACAACTTCTATGATTTATTGATAGATATCATTGATTGAATTCATGAGTCAATTCAAGCTAGACTACCATAGATAACCTGGAAGAACTAGATGACTGTTTTGTCCTAGTATAGGACTCCTCAGCAGTGCGTATCCATGATCCCGTTGCCTTCCTGAGATTCCAACCTAGGAACTCTCAGTCTCTCCACACGAACAATTAACTTCTACACTACTAAGCTAATATACAGTGGTGCTGATGTTTTAGTTAATTGATTTTACAAACCAAATTTGTGTGATCAGATCATATGCTCGAATGTCGATTCTTCTTCTATTGGGTTATATTGTTATAACCGCGATATGAATGCAATTAATATTCATCTATTTTCTCAAAGCAAAAGCAGCATTCCTACAGTTGAAGAATATATGGAACTCAAAACAACTATCGTCAAGCCAACATCAAAGTGAGAATCTTCAATACGCATGTCTAGACAGTTCTACTGTACGCAGTTGAAACTTGGAGAACTACCACAATCATCATTAAAAGAGTACAAGTATTTCTAAACAATTTGTCTATTCAAAATACTCAGTACCTGTTGGCCGGATACCATCAGCAACAGTTTACTGTGGTAGAGAACAAGCCAACTTCCAACTGAGGAGGAAATTAGGAGAAGTCACAGGAGGATATTAGGACATACATTGCTGGAATCATCAAGCTACATCACGAGACAAGCGCTAATCACAATTGATTGATCACTGGGTGGCGATCAATGTCATGCGTGTCTAGTCCTTATTAGTGCAGATCGAATGCTATCGATCGCCACCCGGTGATCAATCAATTCTGATTACATCTCAGTCCTACAGGATGTCGGTCGCGGCTCGGGTAGCTTAGTGGTAACGTCTCTGACTATGAAGCTGGGTAACACGAGATCGAACCCACCAGGGAGCACCAGTTCCCTCAAGATTACAGGTACACCTTGCTGACGAGTGCCAAGTAGCACGAAATCCGGATCCAGGGTTTCCTGTCGACTACCTCCAACCACCATCTAACAAGCGCTAACTTATAATTCTGAAGGAAGAAGATGAAGAGGAAGACCAAAATCATACTGAGTTGGAAATCGGAAGCACATATGAAAGGGATGAATAATAACTGGGAACAAGTGAAAAGAATTGTCCAGGACAGGGTTGGATAGAGAATACTGGTGGGTGATCTCTGTTCCTCCACGAGGGATAACAACCTCAAGTAATTAAGTAAGTAAGTCGTCTGTTTTTACTCACATCTTAATCATCTTATCATTTCTTACCTTTGATGACAAATACCAATTGTATACATTAATTTAATAAACAAATCTGAGTTAGTTTCATTTTGAATTGTAGAATTCATCAATTTATCCATAATAGTTTTAGCTTGATATAAATCCTTTATAGCTTTATGATAATCTTGACATTTTTCTATATATATGATTGACCTATTAATTAAACTATAAAGTTGAACTGATCCATTTAAAGTACCAGATTTAATAGCTTGATCATAATCCTGTAGATTGAATATAAAAAAAAGAAAAAAATCAAAAGGGAATACTACTTTCATTTATTCAGTAGTTTAAATAGTAGAGATAAAGTAAAGTTGAAAAGTTGCTAGTAACATTACAACCGATGCATTTCATTGCTCTCCATAGATTGCATGTTGTAAATTATACATCTTGGGGATGTTAGATCTCCTGAACTGACTTAGTAAATGCCTTATTATTGTGGTTCTATTTTAAAAGTTTGAATTTCATGTTTTCGCGCCAAAAGCGTTTATTTTCACTTTCATGTTATATGTCCCACTTGGGAGGAACTTAAATGCTATTGGTTTGTTATCTCTTTTAGTATGTCATTTTGTGCCGTTTTCCAAGGACATTTTTACGCTATACATATATATACTCTTGATTTGTGCTTGTCGTCGTTGTTCGTGGTACTGGCTGTTTGTGGAATATATCTCCCTCTTCAAAACTTGGACTTCTCTCTCTCTCTAGTTAGCTGGGTTGGGACGCGTCAGAATAGTTAGCTTATCTGCCATTGTGTCACAAAGTCTTCGTTCCGTTCTCAGATTAGGTGAAATCGGAATCTCTTCAAACATAGCAAATTTGGCGACGAGGCTGGTGCAAACATGAATCCCTTAAAAGTGGAATTACTGCTTGAGAAGCAGCTGAAACTTATCCAGATGTTAGCAGATACAAAAATTACACCTAACACATAACCAAGCACTTCTAATTCTGCTACTACTGCACTTTCAGTCGATAGTATCTCGAGCACTATCTCTGAGTCTCATTACGATCCTTAATGCGATGTCACATCTGATATATGGTTTCAACGTTATGAAGACTTATTGAAATTTGATTGTGCTAATCAATATGATGCTAGGAAAGTTCGCTTCCTGCTTCGGAAGCTGGGTCCTGGTGAACTAGATAGATATTGTAACTTAATTCCGCCTCTAAACTTACGTGATTGCTCATTCTCGGACACCATTCATTCATTGAGCTAACAGTTCGAAAATAACTCTTCACTGTTCAACACACGCTATCGATGTTTGAACCTGACTATGAACGAAGGCGCCAATTTTTTGACTCATGTGAGCATTGGTTGAGGTTAGACATTCACACCGGTCTAGAGGTTAAGTGCTCGCGCGCGAGATCGAAGACCCAGGGTTCAAGTCCCGCAGGGGGGGGCGTGGATGCACACTGCTGAGTCATCCCATACTAGGACGAAACAACCGTCCAGTGCTTCCAGATTTTCGATTGTGGTCTAGCTTTAACTGAACCATGAACTCAACTATTCAATAAGTATTTATCACTTAATGCATAAGTAATCATATGATTGATTTTCAAATATATTTCGTATAGAGTAAAGACAAGATGGATTTTTTTTAAAAATATCATGATGTCTTCAGTGGTTTTAAACGGTATATAAGTCTTATCTATATGTAGTTCTCGAATTGATCAAAGTTCATGAATCTCACCTAAAATAAACCTGGACTTTGCTACCATGAACTCGAATGGTTTCTAAAAATACTACATAAACATAAATGACGTTTACTTCCTACATTTATAGTGTTTACGTCTTCCGGAATTTGTGAGGCAGACAATAATTGTTATCTCCAATTCTTCATTTTAGGATCGGAGTCAGACAAGACTGCCTAATCTCCGCATTTCTCTTTGTTTTGGTAGTGTTCCATTGGATTATGAGCACTTCCACATCTGAAGGGGAAACACGGGATACTATACCAATATCAAAGTCACGATCTTCAATACGAATATTAAGACAGTCTTATTGTATGGAGCTGAAACGTGGAGAATGTACAAGTATTTATAAACAATTGTCTACACAAGATACTCAGTGTTTGTTGACCGAATACCATCAGCAAGAGCCTACTGTGGGAAAGGAAAAATTAACTTCCAGATGAAGAGGATATTAGGAAAAGACATTGAGAGTGGATAGGACACACATTTCGGAAATCATCAAACTGCATCATGAGGCAATCGCTAACTTGGAATGTTGAAGGGAAACGGAAAAGAGGAAGGCTGAAGAACACGCTGAGTTGGGGATTGGAAGCAAACATGAAAAGAATGAATAACAACTGGAAATAAGTGGAAAAGATTTCATAGGACATTGTTGGATAGAGAGTGCTAGTGGGCGGCCTATTCTCCTCCAAAATAATTCTAAATCACAACTTACCCATTATTACTTCATAATACACTGCAAGGAAAATTGAATTTTCTCATTTAGATACTACTGAAATAATTTTTAAGTAAAATCATTATTAATTCAAAAATACTTTACGTACTTCAATTGCATCATTCCATTTATCTTGTGTTTGACGACATAAACCACGATTATAATAAGCTAAAGAAGATTTCTGATCTTTTTCTATAGCTATATTTAAATCAGCTTCACAAAAATCCATAGTTTTCAATAAATATTTGTATACACCACTGAAGTAGAAAGAAAAAAAGTTAACATAAAGAAAAACATGAACTCAAGTCTCTGAGTGAAAACATCAACTCTGAGAAGTAAGTACATCCAGCTGATGAGTCCTGAAATAGGACGAAACGCGCGTCAAACTAGATTCCACTACTAGTTATTATCCATCTTTGCTCAAAAAGCCTATATCGAGGCAATCCGCATGGGATGTACATATGCCTATAAGAGACTGATCAGTTGCAGTCATAAATAACAATAGGAAGATACAAGTAAACAACATCAAGCGAATGTAAATAAGTATTTGAGTTTATAGATTACAATACTTTAATAGTGCATAAAATATTGATTCGACTTCCATTCGATCGATGATAATTCAAGAACTCAAGCCCATGCCATAACGATTCGTCCAACATCTGATTTCTCCATTTAGTGGTATTTTCTTTTACTTAAATATGATTATGATCACATTGTCAATAAGTAATTATCATAACTATATTTCTGTGTAGAGCTAAAGGTTTCACATGAGACTGTAGGTTCGCCATTGATATTGTGGATGGTTCCGCATTACTTTGGCAAGTTTTACTGACTGTTCATGCACAAAATTGGTTTCCTGGTTGACCGGTTTCATTCATACTAGTGGTTGCTTTTTAGTGTTTGCAAGAGCCATTATGGTTGAAACGTTGTAAGGCATGTCGCCATTGCTAACAATAATGAGTTTCACTGTCGTGTGGGCGGAATAGGTCAACTTTGGCCTGTTCGTGTTGTACATAATTGATTCATGCGATCATTGATTGGAATAACCATACATGTGAAGTGGATGTGTATATGAATGGTGCGAATAGTCCACCAGGGTGCTTTGTACCTATGTGGTTGTGTCACAGGATTGAGCTGTACTATTCAGATTGTGGTGTTAAGGCCTATGTGGTGTTTGGTTCTCCTTTGCAGCGCGATTGAGCTGTACTGTTTGGGTTGTCACGTGAAAGTCTGGATGATGTCTGGTCCTCCTGAAAATCAATGTAAAATTACCCTGACCCACAAGGGTATATTATATAACCATGAATAATTATCATACCAGTTATTTGTACAAAAAGAAACCTTATGGTTTTAATTTCATTACTATTTCAGTAGTTTTGTTACTAAGCGGTTTGGGTTACATGATTAAATCTCATTTTTTCTGTTCTATTTTGCTTCGTACAAAACTTGGTCTAAGTATATACCTTAAACGTTCATTAGTATAAATTCACTTCTTATTGTTTAGTTGAATCTTCCCATTGAGGTTTTTTAAGACTAAAATTGATCAGTCTGTAGTTGGCATACGTGCATTCTGTGCACATTGTCTCGATATTGCCTTGATTCACACGCATTATAAGCGAAGATGGATGGTGGTCGGTAGTGGAATTCAGGCTATCAGGACTCAGTAACTGAGTAGATAACACGATGATGTTTGTAGCGAACAATACTGGGTTCGAGTCACAGCTGGAGTGAATATAAAATCTGAGATGCGGAGACATCCAGTCGACGAGTCCCAAATAGGACGAAACAAGCGTCAAACTGGATTCCACTGCTAACCACCATCCATCTTTGCTTATGGCTCATCAGTATATGTTATATTTCTGAATTTACTATACACATAATTTCAATATTTCAATTTCTCAGGTACACTGAAGTAAAATATCTGGGGAAAATGTACTTCTATAATGAATGAAGGATAGACTTGATTCACATCTTGTTATGGTATATTGCTAAAAACTCATAAATTTATCGGTGGAATATGACGCTTTAGAAACAGTTCGATTGTATTTATAATAACTATTTACAATTTTAAAATACTGCTGAGAAAAATTGATTAATAGTCGTTGATTAAAGCTAGACCACCATGGTCTAGAGATTAAGTGTTCGCAAACGAGATCCAAGGTCCTTGGTCCGAGTCCCGCGTATGAGGACGTGGATGTACACTATTGAGGAATCCTATACTAGAACGAAACGGCTGTCCAGTGCTTTCAGGTTTACCAAGTTGGTCTGGCTTAAATCAACTCATGAATTGAACTATTAAATTACTAGAATCTACACTCGGAGCCTTTGACCTAATGGTCTGATCAACAAGTCAGTGGAGGAACGTCAGGAGATGCAGTCCCTCGGTAGCCGGTGAGCGAAGATTGGTTTCTTACCCCATTTGTTCCTTCAGGATACTGGAGCCCATGTGCATTATTGGTTTGGAATCTGGAAGTTCCAACTCCTATAGGTGGACTCTGTGGGTCCACCAACCCGGTTAAAGTGCCGGACATTCATCTTTCGTTATCTCAATTTCGTAAACAACACCCGTGGTGCAAGAAGGTAGTGAGTAGGACTTCCCTGGCAGTGGTTGTATGCAGCGAAGTCCTAGTATGGTACTATACAGCAGTGCACATCCACGATCCCGCTCGCGAGATTCAAAGGCAAGATATTCGGTTTCGTGCACGAGCGTCTAACCTTTAAATCACTAAACCGGTATTCAATGCTTTTAATGTATAACTACAACCAATGTAAAAAACTGCTCTATCGTCCATCATTATCATCAGTCAGTCAATATCTCACATCAGATCTGGTTGAATTCTACTGGTCACTGCTTCTCTCTAGCACCCCAGAAAATACCTCTTGAAACCAGTCACCAGTGCGTATATGATGATTATTGTCAGAGAGAGGGTTTTGTGATGAGTCTCATACTAGGACGAAATAATCATTCAGTGCTTCCAGGTTTTCCATGGTGATTTAACATTAATTGACTTATGAACTCAACTATTAACTAACTATCAGTATGGGGGGTTGTGGAGATTGTTAAGTTTTTGGTTGAGATCATGAATTAATTGATGTTAGACCACCGTTGGAAACCTGGAAGCTAACTATATATCAATTAAAACTTTATTATTAAACAATTACCGATAAATCCATATTCTTGTCCATTCTGGTCTTCTATGAATAACTTCATTACAATTAAGTATAGCTTTTGTATAACGTTGATTGATACCAAAATATATAATTCGTGTTAATAAACATTGATCAATTAAATCAACATATTTCATAGGTCCATTCAAATGAATTTGATCTACTGAAGACGTTTTAGAATGGATTAAAACTAATGTTTGACTTATATCATCTAATACATTATCATTGAAATCGTTAGGTAAGATAGTTCTTTTCTGAAGGTGTATAGCTATCAATCGGCAGGTAGATTGAGCACGATATAAGTAAACCTTATGAATAAAATTAATTTATTGAAGTATCAGTATGTAATATGTTCAAACAGTAAATCAATTTAAATGAGTAAGATCATGAGTCAGTTGAAGCTAAACCACCATGGAAAACCTGATAGCAATGGATGGCCATTTCGTCCTATTGTAGGACTCCTCAGTAGTCTGTAGCCGCGATCCCTCTCTCCCCTCTCGAGATTCGAATCCAGGACCTATCACTCTCGCGCGCAGGCGCAGATACCACTAGACCACTGAGATAGTAACTCAGTGATGACAATGGTTGATGTGTCACTCAACTTCGTAGATTTGTTGAGGTTAAACATTAACACCGTTGGATGCCGGCCAGCTCAGAGGTCTCGTGGTTAAGCGTTCGCGTGCAAGACTAATAGGTCCTGGGTTCGAATTCCGGAAGGCGAGATCATGGATGTGCACTGCTGATAAGTACTACAATAGGACGAAACGGCCGTCCAGTGCTTCCAGGTTTTCCATGGTGGTCTAGCTTCAATTAACTCATGATCTCAACTATTAAAATTACTATAATATCCACAAGAAAAACCTGGTTTTGAATTGTTTGAAATTAGGACATCATATAGGGAATGTAGTTGTCATGGTATATTTAGATTCTAAGTGGTGAAACATTCCAAAACTTTTTTTTCAAAACTTTCAATCAGGGGTACTGTTAAGTTTGTCCTACATTGTTCCTGCTCGCTTCCTTTCCACTCCTTCGTATATTGTTTTATACTACTTATTTACATTCAGTAAGCGGTTGTATTCCCAACAATGTTTACACTTATGTTGTAACGCAAGTTGTAATGTAATATCCTGAACTGTTCACACATACTTATAACGTTTATTGTACTTATCATTGTATTTATCATTATGATCACTATACCTTAATCACTGTAGCGGTTATCCACAGTCTTGTGCATTTGTTTAAACGCAACAGTTTCCATAATGTTTTGCTCTTGGTTCGGGTTTCGGTCGTTCATAAACTGTTGTCAGATATAGACACAGCTATCAGCTGTCTTTTGTACTATCGTATGCTATAATTATTCTTTATGTTACTCTTACAGGAAGCCTTTGTTATTTTCATTCTTGAAGGACGCGTTTAAAAGCCCCAGACACTTCACAAGTTGAGGTTTGTAACTAAATTTTGTGTATTATTCAATAAAGAACCGGCTATTGTAGACAAATCGTTACTTTGGAAACTTCGATTTCGCGCGTATCTGAATCAGGTGACTTGGACGCTTCAATAGATCTAACAGGTACTATGTTCAATTCATTAGTGGAACTTTCGAATAATAATAATAGGCGAATATATACATACATACATACATACATTCATACAACATAAATACATATACACACATACATACAATATACATACACATATACTACTTACATACATGAACACACACAAACATACATACATACTTACATATATACTTACATGTGGTCTATGAGGGTCATAATGAATGAAACTTGTAAAAGCTTGAATAGCTGGTATATAATCTCCTATTTTCATATAATATTGACCAAGATGATTGTAGATTTCTATTTTCTCAAGTTTTTTACAATTCTATAATATTATGTAATAAATAAAAGATAAAACAATGATAGTTAGATCCTTATTAAGATATGACTGATGTAAGAAATATGAAATACAGTATATTGAATAAATAGTTTTAACTCTGACAGGAGTCCCTCCGGAGGTTACTGCCGGTCCCAAGCCCGGATAAAGGGAGAGGGTTGGGTATGGGGTTAGCGATCTCATCCCGTAGAAAACTAACTTGGTAACAAAACGCTAACCAGAATAAATAGTTTTAGGGTATTATTCATCGATACATTATTGACAGGCTCTTAGCTTTGATCCATGATGAAGGTATGAAAATAAATAGTGTTGAGTAATGACAAATAGTTATAGTTATGTACTCATATTCCTTTTTCGTTGTTGTTGTTGGTATTTTCGTTTCATGATAGAGAATAGTTATTATATACTGATGTTTGAAAAGATCTATATATATATTCATTGGAATTAGTTCATTCATCTGAACTAATTCATACAGTAGACGCCTAATATCGAGATCAACAGGCTAGATTCTGTAAGGATAAGTCGTGTACAGATCAAATTGCGACACTAAGGATCATCGTCGAACAATCAGTTGAGTCAAACTCGTCATTATAGATCAACTTAATTGATTATGAGAAGGCGTTTGACAATGTAGATAGGAGAACATTATAGAGACTTCTTCGACACTGTCGAGTACCTGAGAAGAATGTCAAAATTATTCGCAACTCATACGACGGACTACAGTGCCAATTCGTGTTTGGAGGACAGTTGACAGATGCATCCTTTGTAAGGACCGGAGTCATACAAGAGTGTCTAATCTCCCTCTTCCTCTATCTTCTGGTGGTCGACTGGATTATGAAGACCTCAATATCTGAGGAAAAACATGGAATACTGTGGACAGCTCAGAACCAGTTAGACGACTTGGACTTCGCAGATGACCTAGCTTTTCGATCTCATACGCATAAACAAATGCAGATGAAGGCAACTAGTGTAGCAACAGCCTCTGCATCAGTAGGCCTCAATATACACAAAGGAAAAGCCAAGATACTCAAATAGAACACGGAAACACCAACCTAACAACACTTGAAGGCGAAACTCTGAGTGATGTGAAATCTTTCACGTACCTAGGAAGCAGCATCCATGAACAAAGAGGATCCAATGCAGACGTAAAGGCGAGGATTAGCAAAGTAAGGGTCGCATCCCTACAAGTGAAGAACATATGAAACTCAAAAGAACTGTCAACCAATATCAAGATCACAAACTTCAATGCGAACGTCAAGACAGTTCTATTGTACGGAGCTGAAACCTGGAGAAGTACTGCAACCATCATCAAAAGAGTACAAGTACTTATAAACAGTTGTTATACAAGATACTCAACATCAATTGGCCGGATACCATCAGCAACAGCCTACTGTGGGAGAGAATAAACCAGCTTCCACCTGAAGAGTAAATTAAAAAAGACGAAGGAAATGGATAGAACATACAATAGTTAATCACCAAACTGCATCACAAGACAAGCACTAATTTGGAATGTTGAAGGGAAGCGAAAAAGAGGAAGGCCAAAGAACACATTACGTCGGGAAATAGAAACAGATATGAAAAGGATGAATAACAACTGGAAAGAGCTGGAAAGGATTGCTCATGACAGGGTTGGATAGAGAATGCTAGTGAGCGGCCTATGCTACTGCACGAAGAGTAACAGGCATAAGTAAGTACGTAAGTAAGTAACATATATCTCTTTTTGTGTACTTTCGTTTGTAATCCTACTAAATGATTGTGCAATATTGTGAACTGATTAAACTTATTTATTTAAACACATAAACACTAATACGAACACGTGCCATATACGCCACATAAATCAATCGATTTTTATGAGGTCTGAGATACTAAACGGGCGTCCAAATCGAATCATGTGGTTTTCTTAGACGGTCGCACCAGGAGCCTTAGATCTGAAGGTCTGACCTATAAAACAGTGGAACAACGTAAGGAGATGCAGTTCCATGGTAGCCGGTGACCAAAGGTTGGTTCTTACACCATTGGTTTGGAATGAGGGTTTTCTAACTCCCCTTAGGTAGATCCTGAATATCCACCAATCCGGTTAGAGCATCGAACATTCACTTTTCATCCTCTCAATTTCGTAAATAACAATAATGCCACTTGAAGATAGTGAGTAAAACTTCCCTGACAGTGGATGTATGCACGTGGTCATGTGAGACCATTTCAAGAGGCGGAGCTGACACTTCCTTCTCTCGACTGTACCCAGTTATTCAGAGGCTAATTGAACATATATATCGTTACTACTGGATACCGGCCTGAAAGTTGTGGATTTCGACTGACAACTCTTTAAATTAAGATCAACCTATAATGCATCATATGAATTTGCTTAAGTATATTTAACAAATCTATCAATATTCAAAGCTTAACTTACTAATTTCTTTAAACTATTTACTAATAATTCAATAGAATTCATTGTTTTTTGTTGTTTATCCATAATGAGACCAAGTAATAATATATTACTTAATACCAATTGATGCTTTGTATCTCCTAATAGAATGGTTTCAGCTTCTTTATATTTCTTCACATAGTGATATGCTAATGCCTATGATGTAGTATTAATATAAAAAAAGAAAACAAAGAGAGAAGATAAAATGATCGATGACCTTTGAACAACACCAAAATGACCTTGGAGTAACCATCAACATGTCAAGGTTAAATGAAGGTTATATATTAGTGTGAGGAATTAGAATTAGGTGTTTTTATCATGAACTGATAACAGCTATAATACTAAAATGGTATTCAGTTAAAGGAGTGAATGAATTTCGTGCCAAAAATCTAAGATCTGTTATCTCAAATCTCATTGGTTCGTTCAGAAATTATAGTTTCACCCTACTTATTTACTTACTACTCTCACTCCCTAATCAAGCATAGGCCGCTGACCAGCATTCTCCAACCCACTCTGTCTTGGGTGTTCCTTTCCAGTTCTGTTCAATTTTTGCTCATTTTTCTCATGTCTGTCTCTATTTCTCGACGTAATGTGTTCTTTGGTATTCCTTTTTCACTTTAGCATTGAGGATTCCATGCTTGCTTTGTGACGCAGTTGGGTGTATCGTCTCACCGACAGAATGTAATTTGAGAGTATTGAAAGGTTCTGAGTTTGAATCTCGCGTGGTGGGATTATGGATTCACACTGCTGAGGAGTCCCATACTGGGCCGAAATGGCCAGGATAAATCAAATAGCAACTTTCCATACTCATCCTGATATCTTATCCGTCGAAATGTTCGTAGAATTCAACAGTTACTAATGATTTCATAAATACTTTTTATTTTTTTGTTATCTTAATAACTTAATAAATCATTTTTCTGTCATATTGTAGTGAAGGAGAACACAGGAGAGGGCAATACTTCATTTGCAAAATGTTCATTCATTGTCTCAGACTTCATTGTTACCTGCATTTTCATACTGATAGCTTTCTATTCCTGTTCTTTACTCTTCGATCTTCTCAATCTTCTTCTGCCAGGCATTCTATTTCTGATTAGTGTTATATATTACTTATATCGACGTAAGTAACATAGACTACATAATATAGATCTGGTTTTATGCTAGTTAGCATTCTTTATCAAGGTTTACCTATGATCTTGAAGAGATTTGTGTTCTCTGCTATATTCGAGCCCATATGATCTAGTTTTACAGCCTTAGATGTAACTACTCAGCTTTATAAGCCTTGAATAGTCTCCAGTAGGACTGGTATACTTGTAGTTGCTTCGTCACTTGTTTATTGACCATGTACTATTTCAAATAAGTAATATTAGTATTGCATTTTATTTGAATAACATTGAAATACCTTAATAACTCTTCTGTAAACAATGCCTTGTTTGAAAATTCAAGTTTGTTTATTAAAAAAACTATTATCTCAACAGTTTTCTTATGAAAATGATAGTGTAGTGTGTACTACTGATATCGACTGATATAAGTAGTATGTATCACTGATCGAAAGTATAATGCTTGGCGGTAGAAAGTTGAAAAACATCGAAGAGAAAAGAATGAGAACATAGAATGATTGGTTTGAAAATGAAGGAACAGTGAAGTTTGAGACAACTGATGGACATTTTTACAAATGAAGTATCTACTGTATAATTCTTAAATTTTACCGAGATAATATGTAGTGGTTATTCACGCCGGTGTTGTCATACTCTACAATATGTTTCGAAGCTCAATAGATTTCTCGTGTAGATAACATACAAAATAATACGCCCCCCCAAATACCCTGGTACGGTCGAGGGTGGGGAGATTCACCTCTCTCTATATATTGAAATGCTCGCACATGGTCACACGTATACAACCACTGTCAATGAAACTCTCACTCACTACCTTCTCGTGGCACCAGTTGTGTTTACGAAATTGAGAGGATGAGACGGGAATATCTGATGCTTTGTCTGAGTTGGTGGATTTAAAGAATGCACACAGGGTAGTAGGAAAACTCTTATTCCAAACCAATGATGCACATAAGCTCCAGCATCTTAAGGAAACAAATGACGTATGAACCTAGTGTTGGTCACAGGCTACTATGGAACTGCATCTCCTAACGCTGTTTCACTGTCTTGTGGATTATGCCTGTAGATCAAAGGCCCTGGGTGTGGTCCCATGAGAATACCACCTGCTTCGGTTTGTGTTATAACTAGTGACCTTGTGCTCTATTTTATATACAACGTAATAATACCGCCAATTAGAGAACAGTGAATTAGAAAACCCGTACGAACAGTCTACAGTCTTTATCGGTCCTTCTTCCTAACTAGCCCAGTCTGCCTGTTGAGTCCAGGACACCAACCTCAGGCTCTGTGATATAAAATCATGTATTTCAAATACATTGGGTTTATACACAAACCAAACAGACCACATGTACAAGATCTAGCCAAAAGTCGCTGTGAATGTGGGAGACTGTAATGAACAGCCGGCGAGACTATAATTTATGGACGAGCCAATCAGAAGCGTTTTAGAGATTTCAAGGTTACAGCGCCAACTTCAGTGATTGATGCTAACGTACAATCGGTTCACAGGAAATTTTGTACAAAACGTGATAATTGAGCGGCTATAACAAATAAAACGGCGAGACTATAATTTGTGGACGAATCAATCAGGTATAAGATAATAGATCTCGGATTTGAACGTGAAAGCCTTTCATCCATTCGGCTAAATAAATTTCTCGCATTATAGCTGATGTCAGTTCGTGATGAAAACCCCATATATAATTCCTAACTAAGGCAAATTATGACAATTATTCCAAACTGGATAATAAAAGCACCAGTAACACTGGCTGCAGCCATGCACTACAACATATACGGATGTTCTGAGAGCGTACAGATTCCTACATAGGCTTGGTTATGTGCATCATGTCGTTATCCACAAGTAGCATTTTGTGCAATCAATAACCGGAGTGCACAAAAGCAATATTGAAGCTACGTGGTTGAGGCTGAAAGAGTTTTTGAGACTTTAACATGACTCCAGAGGCCGACTATTCTGTAGCTCTATGGATGATTTCCTCTACTGCATGCATTACGGTTATAGGACCGCTGAACCTCTTTCTCACCTTGATGAGTTTTTGAACCACGTATAAGAAGTGTATTCACTTTACTTCTTTAGTTTTGTACATATTTTTACTCTATACTGACTGTTTGCCTATTGGCTAATATTTCTCAAGGTTACTTAAGATTCGTTCAAAGGTCGTCCATAAATTAGAGTCTCGCCGAACAGCCTGGGCATAACTCAAGAACGGCAAGTCGTATAATTATAATCTATAGGTCAAAATAAAGCTTATAATAAGAGAACAATGAATATACATAGTTTAATTACTTAACAATTACACAATAAACAAATACATGTATCATATTGATCTATAAATTGATCCAAACAGTTACCATCCCTATATTCTCATCGCGATATAATCGTTTGTGTAGCCGATCAGTATCACAGCTCTTACACAAGTCGAATGACAAAATGTGGTGCCTATACATCTGGTTCCTCCTTATATCAGTCAGTCAGTCAATCAGCTACAACGTAGGACCAGGCACATAAATTCATCGGTCCAAGTTGCCACACCTCATTAGCACAACACGATGAACACCGGATTTATAGGAGTGGTTAAGTCAATAATAATAATAATAATAATAATAATAATAATAATAATAAACACAATACTATACATATATTTACCATTTGTTTAGCTTGTTTATGAATCACACATTCTTCGGCTAAACTTAAATATTGTTGAATAGAACGTTGAATCAATTGAGCATTTGTTAATTTATATAAATAATTTGCAAGTAATAAATAAGTAGTTGCTAAATGAGGACTTAAATGTATCACACGTTGTATATCGGATATTGCCTTGTTAAACTATGGAAAAAATCAGTAGAAGAAAACAACAACAACAACAACAACAACAAAATAGAGCATTTCATTCAATATGGGGTGGGATGGTTGTGGTGGTGGTTATGGAGTCAATTAAAGCTTGACAACCATGGAAAACCTGGAAGCATTGGACGGTCGTTTCGTCTTAGTATGGAACTCTTTTAGAGGTTAACTGTACGCTTGTAAGATTGATAGGTCTTGGGTTCGAATCCAGTGGATGCGTACTGCTAAGGAGTTCGATACCAGGATGAAACGGCCATCCAATAGTTCCAGGTTTTCCATGGTGGTCTAGTTTTATTTGACTCATGAATTCAACTATTCAATTGATAATGAAAATGAAATTTCATCTTACACTTTGTAATGAAATATCAGTTGTGATTTTATTAATCATTGGGTTATAACAGTTTAGATTAGTCAACATAGGATACTTACTTACTTACTTACGCCTGTTACTCCTCGTGAAGGAGCATAGGCCACTCACCAGCATTCTCCATCCAACCCTGTCCTGGGCAATCCTTTCTAGCTCCGTCCAGTTGTAATTCATCCTTTTCATATCTGCTTCTATAATCCGACGCAATGTGTTCTTTGGCCTTCCTCTTTTTCGCCTCCCTTCAGGGTTCCAAGTTAGGGCTTGCCTCGTGATGCAGTTTGACGGTTTGCGTAATGTATGTCCTATCCATTTCCATCGTCTTTTCCTAATTTCTTCTTCAGCTGGAAGTTGCTTTGTTCTCTCCCACAGAAGGCTATTGCTGATGGTATCCGGCCAGTGGATGTTGAGTATCTTGCGTAGGCAGCTATTTATAAATACTTGTACTTTCTTGATGGTGGTTGTTGTAGTTCTCCAAGTTTCAGCTCCATACAGTAGAACTGCCTTGACGTTCGTATTGAAGATTCTCACTTTGATATTGGTTGAAAGTTGTTTTGAGTTCCATATGTTCTTCAATTGTAGGAATGCGACCCTTGCTTTGCCGATCCTCGCCTTTACGTCTGCATCTGAACCTCCTTGTTCATCGATGATGCTTCCTAGGTATGTGAAGGACTCTACATCTTCCAGAGTTTCGCCATCAAGAGTGATTTGATTGCTGTTCTGCGTGTTGAATTTGAGGACCTTGGTTTTCCCTTTGTGTATGCTGAGGCCTACTGATGCAGAGACTGCTGCTACACTGGCTGTCTTCATCTGCATCTGTTCGTGTGTACGTGATAGGAGGGCTAGGTCGTCTGCGAAGTCCAAATCGTCTAATTGATTCTGAGTTGTCCATTGTATTCCGTGTTTTCCTTCAGATGTTGAGGTCTTCATAATCCAGTCGACCACCAGAAGAAAGAGGAAGGGAGAGAGTAAACAGCCTTGTCTGACTCCAGTCCTTACTTGGAATGCATCTGTCAGCTGTCCTCCATGCACTACTTTGCACTGTAGTCCGTCGTATGAGTTCCGGATAATGTTGACAATCTTCTCAGGAACTCCGTAGTGTCGAAGAAGTTTCCATAATGTCCTCCTATCTACACTGTCGAATGCCTTTTCATAATCAATGAAGTTGATGTATAGTGATGAGTTCCACTCCACTGATTGTTCGACGATGGTCCGTAGTGTTGCAATTTGGTCTGTGCACGACCGATCCTTACGGAATCCAGCTTGTTGATCTCGAAGTTGGGCGTCTACTGCATCCTTCATACGGTTCAGCAACACTCTGTTGAAGACTTTCCCTGGTATTGACAGTAGTGTAATGCCTCTGTAGTTTTCACATTTGCTCAGATCTCCTTTCTTTGGAATCTTGACGAGGTGTCCTTCTTTCCAGTCCATTGGCACTTGTTCCTCCTCCCAAATCTTTTTGAATAGAAGGTACAGCATGCTTGTGGTTGCTTCGATGTCTGATTTCAGTGCTTCAGCTGGTATGTTGTCGGGTCCTGCTGCTTTCCCGTTCTTGATTTGTCTGACGGCCATTCTAATTTCTTCCGTCGTTGGTGGGTTGACATCTATAGGAAGATCTATGTGTGCTGCTTCGATGTCCGGTGGATTCATTGGAGCCGGCCTATTCAGGAGTTCCTCGAAGTATTCCACCCATCTGTTACGCTGATGTTGAATTTCGGTGATTGGCTTGCCTTCTTTGTCTTTGACCGGCCTCTCTGGTTTACTGTATTTCCCTGCTAGTTTCTTCGTTGTATCGTAAAGCTGTTTAACATAGGATACAAAGGAGAGAAATGATGCTTTTAATTATCGATCCGCTTAGATAGGTGTTCACACGATAATGTAGCCGATAAAATTGGATCAGCTATAAAGGCTTAGATAAATACGATAGCTTCTTACTGTTTAATTACGCCTGTTACTCCCAGTGGAGCATAGGACGCTGACCAGCATTTTCCAACCCAATCTGCCCTGAGCTTTCCTTTCCAGTTATATACAATTGTTGTTCATTCTTCTCATATCTGTCTCCATTCCTCGACGTAATGTGTTCTTTCGTCTTTCTCTTCGCCTTTGGCATTGAGGATTCGAAGTGTGGGCTCGCCTTCCTGATTTCTTCCTCCGCTGGAATCTGATTTGTTATCTCCCACAGTATCTTCTGGATGATGGCTTTTGTAGTTTTCCAAGTTTTCTTCCCTATACAAAAGAACTGTCTTGACATTTGTATTGAAGATTTTGACTTTGGTGTTGGTTGACAGTTGTTTTGAGTTCCAGATGTTCTTTTATTGTAGACATGCTGCTCTCGCTTTGCCGATTTGCGCTTTCACATCTGCATAGATCCACTGTATTCATCAATGATGCTGCCTAGGTATGTAGAGGTTTTTACATCCTCCAAATATTCTCTGTGTGATTCGATTGGTGCATGTTGTGTTGTATCAGAGAATCTTGCTTTTTCCTTTGTGTATGTTTAGACCTACTGCTGCTGAGGCTGTTGCTACACTAGTCGTCTACTCTTGCATTTGTTGATGCGTATGTGATAGAAGATCATCTGCGAAGTCTAGATCTTCCAGATGCATCCTAGCTGTCCACTGTATTGGGTGCTTCCTCCCAGATGTTGACGTCTTCGTAATTCAGTCGATCACCAGGAGAAAGAAAGTAATCAACCTTGCTTGACACCGATCTTTACTTGGAATGAGTCTGTTTGCTGTTTCCCATGCACGACTTTGCAGTTAAATCCATCATAAGAATTCCGTGTGATATTGACTATCTTCTTAGGCACGCCGTAGCGTCAAATATACCTCCATAATGTTGTCCCGTCCACGCAACTACTTAATAATTATCTATCTTATGTGTGAATAATAGATTATAACAACTCATTATACAATCTTGATTATGTTTAAATTTTGTTAAGCCTTTTTATTAACTTACTTAACAGACTATGTTATTCGAACAGTTTGTACTATTATGATCACTATCTTGTCTGTATAGACGTGTACTCTTGATCATAAATGACAGACTACGCATACCTCTCTCTAGCTTGATTGTTGGTAGTCTAAATATCAGTCGATAAATCATTCTCTTCTCCATGTATCTATGTACTTGCCATAAAACGATGTTCCATTGGTATCTGAACTAAAGCAGTTTATTAATAGGATACTGCCCGGGTGCCCAAACCGAAGCACTTAGTTTTCTTAAGAGGCCACACTCGGAACCTTTGACCTAATGATCTGATCCACAAGATAGTGGAGCAACGTCAGGAGATGCAATCCCTTGTTAGACGGTGACCAATAATTGGTTCATACGTCATTAACCTCGTCAGAATCCTGTAGCTCATGTGAATCATTGTTTTGGAGTCAGGATTTTCTAACTCCACTCATGTGAATTCTCTGTGTTCACCAACCCGGTTAAAACGCCAACAGTAATGCCGTAAGAAGGCAGTGAGTACAGATTTCCTGATAGTGGCTGTATACGCGTGGCCATATGAAACCATTTCGAGAAGGAGTGCTAACTCTGCCCACTGGAACGTAATAATAATAATATAAACTTCAGTTGTACATAAGATTGTAAAAAAAGAGGAGATTTCTTCTGGAAACTTACTTGATTTGATTGATAATAAGCTTCTGCTCTACATAATAACAATTTTATATCTGGTATTGTTTCTTTATTTATTCCATTTGTATACGCTTGAATAGCTCTATGATTATACACTATAACATAATAATGTAAACTAACCTAGTTGTTAGATTCAATTGTATATAGGTTAATCCTAACAAACGGTAGATATCAGTTGATTGAGGAAATCCATTATTCAAAGCTGCTTGAAAATCATGTACTGCCATTTTATACCTAAAAAAAAATAAAAGTCCAGTGAAATAAATTTGGAAAGAGAAAGAAAAAGAACGGGACATGAAGAATTCAGAAGATTCGAATTTAGGAGAACACAAAGAATGGATGCATCTGCGCCATTGCAAACGATTTTGAGCTATGTCATTCAACGTCTCTAACCATCGATCGCTATCGTTTCGTGGATCCCAACCGGGTAGTCTACACCTACCAACATGGCTCAGTCTACTTGTCAGTGACTTTATGGATTTGTGCCATGTTTTGGTCCGGCCGTCCCTAGTTTTCTTACAACCTACTCCTACACCATAAAACATTGCACGTCGGTAGTTGAGCATACGTAACACGTATCCCAGTCATCTCAACTGATGAAGTTTCACTACTTCATCACTTGATTTGCCATCCTTACCTAGTACCTGTTTGCTAACAACTTCATTACTTACTCGATGGTACCAGGATATAAGAGCAATGCTTCGAAGACACCTGTGATCGAATACTAGTAACCTACGAATATCCTTCACTATGAACATCTAAATATGTTGGAAGGCAAAAATTCTAAGGATATTAGGGGAGATTTCAGTCATTCAGTTAGCTGCAATGTAGGACCAGGCACATATATATGCATCGGTCCAAGTCGCCACACCTCATTAGCGCAACAAGATAAACACCGGATTCATAGAAGTAGTTACTTCAATGGTAGTAAAAAATGGATTCATATTACGATGTGATACAGGGAGAAAGAATTAATTCGTAGAAAGAAAGGAATCAAGTAATTTCGATCTCACAGTTTAAGGGAAGACAAAGAGTATATAAACCTACGCCAATATGTCACCTAGAGTTTCTAACCACTGGTTACGATGGTCGCGTGGGCCCTGAACAAGTAATCCGAATCTATCAACATGGCTAAGACTAGAAGTTAGTGACTTCATGGATTGATGCCATGTTTTGATTTGGCCGCCCCTAACTTTTTTTCAACTGTCTCTAACACTAGTCAGCATTACGCGCCGTGGTAGCCGGTGGCTGTGAATGCGTAATACGTGGTTGAACCATATCAATCGCCTTCGCCATTGGTGACGTAAGTTAGCTAAAGCCGAGCGAGCTTTCTAAGTCCGTGCATAGATTATGTCAGACACCAACTCATTAGGGTCGATCCAACTTCCCAGATAAATGAAGTTGTCGACATGTTCGTCTACTTCAATACCTATTCTTAGTTCATATGTTGACGCAATCCAGTTTGAATGCATCTAGATGCATGGTGATATTTTTTGTGAGACTTGACGCTAATAACTATTGTTTAAAACATTAAAATCTAATCCGCTAGCCTACTGAGCCAGTAAGTGATTCTGATTATTTATTTAGGCATAAACTTCGAGATTCAACTACTGACAAAATCTTGTTGAAAACTAACAAATATATAGTCTCAATGGTTAAGATCATGAGTCAGTTGAAGCTAGACCACAATGGAAAACCTGGAATCACTGGACGGCCGTTTCGTCCTATTGTGGGACTCCTCATCAGTGCGTATCCACGACCTCCCACCCTCCGAGATTCGAACCCATGACCTACTGGTTTCGTGCGCGAGCACTTAATCATTTAGTCTTAATAATTCAGTAATATTAGAACCACTAACCGGCTAATGTTGGACCATCATCAAAAATCTAGAAGCAACGAACTGCTGTTTGGTTCTAGTATGGAACGACTCAGAAGTGTACATGTACACCCCTATGGAGGTAATTCGGACCTATGATCATAATGAAACTCAACAATCTCCAACAGTCTATACTGAAAATCATCATATCCTCATTAATGACTAACTTTGAAGGGAAATTCTTGACGTTCTAGTGAAAATTTGTGACTTGTATAGTTCAAACGTGTCAAGTGTGAATCAGTTATCCTTCGAAGACAATAGAAGATGACCATAGAATAGGATAGATTGACTAAAGGTAGACTTGTACACTACTATCGTGGATCAGTGTAGTCTGAAATTTAAGCGTTTTAGCGAGGAAACTTTAAGTCCTAGTTTCGAATCTCACGTACGGTAGGTAGCACAGATGCCCACTTCTAAGCCTAGTATCATGATAAATTTATTAAACAAGGAATTTTTCTTATGAATTTACTGAACATATATAACATACCTTTTTAATTGATTAAACATTAATCCACGTTGGATAAAAGCCATAGTTTGATATTTTTGGTTACCAACATATATACACAATGTTAAATCACGTAATGATTGTAATGGACATGTTTTAGTCAGTAGACAACCACGTATATATAAAGCCTATAATAATGATAATGAATAATTAGATGTTATAATTTACAATATATTCCTATTATAAGTAGTAGAGTATAATTATGGATGAATTCATAATGGTAATACTAATATATACTGTAATTAAGAGTAGCGGAAACTCCGCCTGTGGCCCCTCTAGTGCTACTGCCAGTCCAAAGCCCAGATAAGGCAAGAGAGTTGGGCATGGTGTTAGCGAACCAATCCCGTGGAAAACTAACTTGCTAAAAAAACGCTAATCTTCCTTCATTTCGAAACATTTGATTGAGACTGATCATAAGGTTGATATCAAGTCAGCATTTGTAGTATTGTATAAAAGTCTTCAAAGACGTTTATTGAAGCCTTGGCTATACGAAAACTGAAACCCTCTTTATGTATTCCAAAAACAATTTGTTCTTACCCTTAACCTGCCCTAGTAACATTGATTTATTATCCAGAGTAGTTATCGCATTGTTTCTGTGTACTTTCTTCTTCTTCTTTGTTACGGCTTACCTTTAATCGGTCAAGCTGGCCTTTTAGTTTTCATATACAAATATTGGATGCTGGATGTGTCGCTAAATCTCAAGGATTAGTTGAAGTTAGGCATTAACACCGTTGGATGCCGACACGCTCAGTGGTCTAGTGGTTAAGCACTCACGCGCGATACCGATAGGTCCTGGTTTCGAACCTCGCGAAACGTAATCGTGGATGGGCACTGCTAAGGATTCCCACAACAGAACGGAGCGGCCATCCTGTGCTTCTAGGTTTTCCATGGTGGTCTAGCTCCAACTGACTCATGATCTCAACTATTGAAATATAAAAATGTCTTAACAAGTATATTATGTATGATCAGATTGTTCGAAATATATTACTCAAATATGTCATATAATTCTGATAACCTACATCTCATTGCATCATCGAAAACCAGTATATTAAAAACTTGTCCTAAGGTCCATGATACATTCTTAAAATGACCTCTATGATTAGATCACTAAAATTTGGTACAATGTTTGAGACGAGCTCAAAAACAGTAATTTGAATGAGAAACTAACTATTCGTTTACAAACAAAGATGAATATCGGCTAGCAGTGAAATCCATGACAAAGCGTGTTTCGTCCTATTTAGGACTCGACAGCTAGATGTAACTGCACTTTCAAGTTGATGTTCACTTCGGGACTCCAACCCAGTACCGTTCTCTTCAAACGCTACATATCCCGATAATAGACTGATCAATTGCAGTGCTAAACATCAATGGGAAGATACAAGTAAACGATAACAAGTAAATTTAAACTTCACTCCATTGAACAACCAAGTGGCTATCAGGACTCAATAGTCAAGTGAATAATGCTATGGCGTTTGAAGCCAACGGTACCCGGTTTGAGTCCTGGGTGGAGTGAACATAAATTCTGAGATGTAACTACATCCAGTTGCTGAGTCTCAAACAGAACGAAACATATGTCCTAGAATCCATTGCTAGCCACAATCTATCTTTGTTTAGAATGCTTGTGAATTAAGGCAATACCTAGGCAATCCGTACAGGATGCAAATACGCTAATAAGAGACTGATCAATTGCAGTCTTAAAAAGCCTCAATGGAAAGATTTAAAAAAACAATACCAAGTGAATGTAGATAAACCTACTTTATAATACAATGGTTGAAAGTAAAGACAAGTTGTTAATTCAGCTAAAGCTGTACTATAATTAGATAATTTTAATAGACATCTAGCCAAATAATATCTTGCTTCAAAATATGATGGATTATTAACAAGAACCATTTTAAAATAAGAGATTGCTGTTCTCCAATCCCTAAGAATTGAATAAGAAGAAAGTGATTAGATAAAGTAATTACCAAGTAAATACGTAGATAACGTAATTGAAATTTTTTGATTGAGATCATGAACTGATTGATGTTAGATCACCATTGAAAACCTGGAAGCATTGGAAGGCCGTTTAGTCCTATTGTGGGCTTCCTCAATAGTGGGCATCCACGATCCCACTCGCGGGATCCGAACCCGGAGCTTTAAGTCTCGCGCGCGAACGCTTAAACTCTAGACCATTGAGCTGGTCAGCATCCAACGGTGTTAATGTCTAACTTTAACTAATCCACGAAATTGAACGACAAACCCACTGCGCACTGCTGAGGAGCCCCACAATAAGACGAAACGGCCATCAACCAATCCACGACATTGTGCGACTATCTTCCGTTGTACTGAGGCAGATACCTGTCCCTATCCAAAACGGATTATCTCCACTGGTCATGGATTCTCATTAGAACTTCGAGAATTCCTTCACGAAGCTAGTCACTAGTGAGCACATAATAATCTCCAAAACCCTATACTGGTAATTGAAATTCTTTTGAAATACATACAGTACATTAGTTTCATTCTATTTAAAGTACTCTTCCTGTAGTGAACGAGAACACAATTGGGGAAAATTGAATATATATGAATAAAAAGTTACAGAACGTTTTAGTAAGATCTGATAACTATACAGTAAATACTTCATTTGTAGTGTCGATCAGCTATCTCAGACATGACTGCCCGTTTGTTTCTACACCAATCATTATCTGTGATCGTTCTCCTTCTTTTTTGATCTTCTTAACCTTCTACCACCAGGCATTTAACTTCCGAGTGATGGTACATACTACTTATAACTATCGACATCAGTAACATACACCATATATGAACTAAATTTAGATTTTTAGATATGATAATGCCAAAATAGTGAAACCATGAGTGAGCTGAAGAGCCTCACTTTGAGAACTTTCAAAATTATTTTGAAGGACGAAATGCAATTGAGACAAATATATGATTTCAATAGTTGAAATCATGAGTCAGTTGAAGCTAAACCACCATGGTAAACCTGGAAGCACTGGACGACCGTTTCGTCCTAGTATGGGACTCCTCAGCAGTGCGCATCCACGATCCCGCCTCTCGAGACATTCGAACCCAGGACCTATCGGTCTCGCGCGCGAGCGCTTAACCACTAGACCACGGCCGTCCAGTGCTTCCAGGTTTTCCATGGTGGTCTAGCTTCAATTAACTCATGATTTCAACTATTGAAATTCGTAAAAATCTCCACAAAACCCCATCTGAAAATATATGATTACAAAATGGATATTAGTTTGCAATGAATAAGGTCGATTGACCTCAACTAATTAGTCTACATCTAACAACATGGCTCAGACTAGAAGTTAGTGACTTCAAGCACTGATGCCATGTTTTAAATTGGCCACCCTTAACTTTCTTCCAAACCATCTCCAACACTAGTCAGTATTGCAAGTTGTGGTAATCGGTGTTCAAGCATCTCAGTCGATGAATATTTACAACCTTATTAACCGACCCACCATCATTCCCTAATACTGTGAGTCAAGAAAATGGAATTGAGTGAAATCATGAAAATTTTACTTACTTCGAGTGAAATTTATATAAACCACATTGAAATTGAGCATAGACTGATTTGGGATTTATACAGAGGATTTTCATAAAATCAGTATTTGCTTGATGATACATTTTTAACTGAAACAAATAAGATTAGCAATAAAATTTCAATAGTTAAGATCATGAGTCAACTGAAACTAGACCATCATAGAAAACTTGGAGTCACTTGACATCCGATTCGTCCTATTCTGGGTTTCCTCGGCAGTGTGCGTCCACGATCCCACCTCGCGAGATTCGAACCTATGACCTCTCGGTCTCGTGGACGTACGCCTATCCTCTAGACCACTGAGCCAGTACCCTACTGTGTTAATTTCTATAATCTGTCCACATAAAAATTCCTAATGAAGTCATTTTCTCACAGGCAAGCATTTGTATGATTTATAGACACCCATATACTGATAGAGATTCTAACGTCATTTGTTAAGCTTTGCAACTAGAAACATTAGTATTGATCTATTATGGCTAAACAAAAATGGACGCCGTTCACACACGTAAGTAGCTTGGGGTAGTTTTTTTAGAGTTCTTTTATCATGTTAAATAGATAATGGTGAATACAATTTATTCCATACGAAAGTTTCGCTAAATTCTAGTTACCATTTTTTCCGACAGTTGCTGTTACATTTGACGTAGTGGTAGGGCTTGCCTATTGTGATACCCAATCGGGCTATACTGGCTGGAACAACTGTTCCCCAAAGTCCTACCATACCAGACAGGTGGGTTGAGGAGAAGTAAGACTAAAAGAGTAAGCCCAAAGTTCGAGGGAAAAGTCGTACTGCTGATTGTACAGAGGTTATACGGCAGTAAGCTGTTTTACTTCAAACAACCGGTATAACAACGATGCTTCTTTCTTACAAGGAGGGGTGGGTTAGAAAAAGTCGACCATAAAAATGCGAACCTCACCTTATCCAATGGAGTTTTGTCTCCAGCGGTAAGGTTCCAACAAGTACGGGGCTAACACGGTAATTATCCTTAGGAAGGTCGTGTGTGGTCGGCGTTAAGCAGTTGTCTCCTAGGTAGTGCGGTCACGCTTTTGGGTCACTAAGACCAAATCTGACTCATTTCCCTTTCTAAGTACCTCTAGAAGAACTGTTCCACGGTATGGGAAACCAGAAAGTAGTAACCACCCTCAAAACCTCTAACAGCAATCAAGTTACTATTTTTAGAAGGGTTTGTGGTAAATTCAAATTTCACTAAGTTGACTTAGCTTTCTAAGGATTATTTATTTATAGTTTAATTATCAAGGGAATATGTAATGTAGGGTAGATAAAGCTAGTGTATCAATTGTGTTGGTTCATACGAAAATCGTTCATGTCATCTTACGGTCTACACTGGTGAAAATACTATAAGAAAGTCATTACCAAAATCTCTTCTCTATTGAATTATACTACAACCCAAGACATTTGGTATGTATCACTATTGAATCTTGTTAGGAAAACTTATTGAACAATGAACCGCGACTTGACATATAGATGTTCTTTGCTTGTTTTTCAGCTGATTTTAATTTATAATGGAAGATACCTACATGTTGTACCGAAATCTTAAACACATCAGTATAAATATCAGGTTATTTTTCTTTATATGGAATAAACATTCAAAAGAATATGTTTTTCATAGAAATATAAACTGGAAAGATGGATAATGGCTAGCAGTGGAATACAGGACACGTGTTTCATCTTATTTAGGTCTCGTCAACTGAATGTACCTGCGTCCCACCAGTTGATGTACATTCTGAGACTCGAACCCAGTATTGCAAATAATATCAAGTGGATTTAAACTCCACCTCATTGCACAACCGAATGGCTATCAGAACTCAGTAGTTAAGTGAATAACATGATGGTGTTTGAAACGAACGATAGTGGGTTCGAATAGTGGCTGGAGTGAATATCAACTGTGAGATGTAGGTAAATGCAGCTAGCGAGTTCCAAATAGAACGAAAAGTGCGTCCTGAATTCTTTAGCCAGCCACCATCTATCTTTACTTATAATGCTTGTGACTTGAGGCAATATTGAGGCAATGCGCACATCATGCACATATGCGAATAAGAGACTGATCAATTACAGTCATAAACATCAATGGGGAGAATTAAGTAAAACGATACCAAGTGAATGTAGACTGGAATTATAAAAAGATTCCTAGTTTGGATCCCATTGTAATACAACCAATGATTCATTAGAAATCTGATTGACACATGTTTATCAACAAAGTGTCATGTTTAAAATCTTATTAAAGTTATGTTTTGCTTCACTTGGTGTTATTTTACTTGTATCTTCCCATTGTTGTTTAAGACTGCAATTGAACAATCTCTTGTTGGCGTATGTCCATCTTGTGCGGATTGTCTCAATAAAGCCTTAAGTCACAAGCATTTTAAGCAAAGATGGATAGTGGCTAGTAGTGGAATATAGGACGTGCGTTTCGTCCTATTTAATACTCATCAGCTGGATGTACCTGCATTCAAAGTTGATGTTCATTCCGGCATTCGAACCCAGTATCGTTCACTTCAAGTCTCAAATAGGACAAAACACTCTTTGTCCTGGATTTCACCGTCAGTCACTATCCATCTTTGGTTATGTTCTGATTTCTGAATATCAGTCCTGTGTTTTCACTAAGACAAAAACAAAAAAATCATAATCACCTTGAGATAAAGATTAGCTCTTTTCTCATAAGCTAATTCATATGTCGGATTATAATGAATCAATTTTGTCCATATTTCAATTTCCATTTTAGAATCATTTAATAATGAATAAATAAATGCTTTTGAATTAAGAATGTCATGATAAAACTGATAGAGATTGGTATTGACATTTTTCATATTACTATCATTATTTCTGTTATCAGTAGTAGTAATTGTAGTAGTCGTAGTCATCGCCGCCGCCGTCGTCGTCGTCGTCGTAGTACTCGTCACCATCGCCGCCGCCGCCATCGTCGTCGTAGTAGTAGTAGTAGTAAAATTTTGTATTGGTTCAATCATATTAGTACATTTCATACATTGTTCTAAATGATATAATGCCTCTTTTATTTTACCTTCAAGTAAGAATATAAAATGTATATGCCAATAGGCAGATGATAATTTTGATTCAATTTGAATAGATTTAAGAAGATCAGCTTTGCATCTTGTAATCTTCCAATCTAAAAGGATATAAATTTATAAAAGCGATTCGAAAGCAACGAAATCAAATAACATTTATTTGGGAGTTAAGCTGTTAAATTTTCTAGTCGATAAGTCCTTGACTCAACTATCACTATACATACATTACTATAATATACACAACATACGCTCACTATTGACTGGCTTCAAGAGGTAATTTCTGGAGTTCAAGTGTGAAGTAGTGACCAGTGGAGTTCAACCGGGTCTGTTGTGAGATAGTAACTCTTTGAAGATAATGGTGGATGTGTCGCTCAATTTCGTGGATTGGTTGAAGCTAAACATTAACACCGTTGGATGCCAACCGGCTCAGTGGTCTAGAGGGTTCAGCGCTCGCAGGTGGTACCGATAGACCTTGAGTTTAAATCCCGTGGGGCGAGATTGTGGATGTGAACTGCTGAGGAGTTTTACATTAGGATGAAACGGTTATCCAGTGCTTCCAGGTTTTCAATGATAGTTTAGCTTCAATTGACTCGTGATCTTAACTATTGAAATTGCTATAATATCCACAAAAACCACTTCAGATATATACATCTGTTTGGTTCGGAACCAAGTACATGAATCTATACTCGGTTAGTGAATTTATGTTACATCGTCTAATTGATCATGTCAGAATACGATATACAACTAGCGGCACTAGAATGTGTAGAACCTAACAGTCGCAAATCAGAAAGCAGAAGAATCAGGTGAAGTGAATAACTGATAAGAATAAAAAAATGTGCATAAAAACACGTGTGTTTATAGTTATCAGCATCGGCTATGACATCATTAAAATCCAGCCAATCTGCAAAGAGGTAAGTTGTGCTATCATCTAATCGTAGTATTAAAAGTGGTTTTTGTGGACATGATAGTAATTTCAATAGTTGAGATCACGAGTCAATTGAAGCGAGACCACCATGGAAAACCTAAAAGCACTGAACGGCCTTTTTGTACTACTGTGGGACTCCTCAGCAGTGCGCATTCACGATCTTGCCACGCGAGATTCGAACGCACAACTTATCGGTTTCGCAATAGGATGAAACGGCTATCCAGTTCTTCCACGTTTTCCATGGTGGTCTAGCTCCGAGTGACTCATGACCCCAATTATTGAAATTAATTTTAGTATGCCACGATGATATACTAGAAGACTATCAGGTTCTGTTTAGATGGAATCACTTACACTCCTCCTCATTCACTTTGATTTGATTTTCTTAACATTCTGATATCAGGCATTTTACTTCTGATTAGTGTTATATACTACTTATATATGTCAATATAAGTAGCTAACAACACCACATCCCTATTGATCATTTTAGAATTAAATATACAAAATGTTTCTGTATAGGTGAGTATGAGAATGAGAAAGTCAGAATGAGAAAAGAGTTTTGTAGTTCAGTAATATTTATGCTGTAGTTAGTTTGTTCCAGTATTCTGTTGCATAGCATCTAAAATGATTGTGCTTGTGGTGTGTGCCACTGATATCGACAGATATAAGTAGTACGTACCATTGATTGAAAGTGAAATATCTAGCGGTAGAAGATTAATAAGATCAAAGAAAAGAGAACGAGAACAGCGAATGATTGGTGTGGAAACGAAGGAATAGTAAAGTCTTTAATGTGGCTTGTATTCAAACGACTACACCTAGAAATCTTTTCTCTCAATATTGTTTTATTTTTGCGCTTTTACCTCCTCGCGAATTCAAACCTACGCTTACTTATCTTCTTGTTTTTTCTATTTGTATTTTTACTACGCTCGCTCTTACACAATTTGATGATGTACTTACCCTTTATGGAGGAGCATAGGTCGCTCACTAGTATTCTCCATCGAACTCTGTCCTGACAATCCGCTTCTTTCCAGTTGCTATTCATCCCTTTCCTATCTCCTTTCGATTCCCTATGCAACGTGTTCTTTGGTCTTCCGCTTTTTCGTTTCCATTCAGGATTCCAAGCTAGCGCTTGCCTTGTGATGCAGTTTGGGATGTGTATCTTATCTACTTCCAACGTCTTTTGGTGATTTTACTCCTCAGCTGAAAGCTGGTTTGTCCTCTCCTGTGATAGGCTGTTACTGATGATATCTAGTTAATGGATGTTGAAGTATCTTGCGTAGACAACTATTTATCAATACTTGTACCTTCTTGATAATGGTTGTAGTAATTCTCCATGTTTCAGCTCCGCACAGTAGAACTGTCTTGATGTTCGTATAGAAGATTGCGACTTTGATATTGATTGACAGTTATTTTGAGTTCCATATGTTCTTCGACTGTAAGAATGTGGCCCTTTTTTGATAATTCTCGCATTTACGTCTTCATCTGATGATGTAGCCAGATCATAAAAACCATATTCATGTCAATAAAATATCCATATATATCTTATAAAAACAGGAGCATTTAATTATGTATACCAATATAAGGGGTAAATCATCCATTTGTATATTACTAGTATGATGTGTGCTACTGATATTGACAGATATAAGTAGTATATATGCATCATCAATTAAAAGTGAAGTACTTGATGACAGAAGGTTAAGTAGATCGGAGAAAAGATAACAGAGAGTGATTGATGAGGAAACAAAAGAACAATGAATTCCGAAACGATTGATTAACATTTTGCAAATGAAGTATTTACTGGATGGTTCTCAGATTTTATTAAGAGATTCTGTAGTTGTGTGTTCTAATACATTCGATTGTCTCTACTTGTGTATTCTTGTTCACTACACCAGCATTACCTAAATATACATTACTACAACCCTATTTTTTTGATAAACACTTGAATTAGTCAGTCAGTCATTCAGCTACAACGTAGGACCAAGCACATATATGCATCGGTCCAAGTTGTCACATCTCATTAGCACAGCAAGATGAACACCGGATTCATAGGAGTGGTTAAGTCATGGTGGTAATATATAAAAGAAAGATTGCATATAAGGATATAGTACAGGAAGAAAGAATTAGTTCGTAGCAAGAAAGATATGAAGTAATTTTAATCTCTTAGTTTAAGGGAAGACAGAGAATGTATACACACCTACGTGATTGTGATCGATTCTGAGCCATGTCACCAAGAGTCTCTAATCATTGGTTACGAAGTCACATGGATCTTAACCAAGTAGTCTGCATCTAATAACATGGCTCAGACTAAAAGTTAGTGACTTTATGGACTGATGCCACATTTTGATTTGGTCGCCCCTAACTACTTGAATTAGTACACTTTCATTGTTAGCATTATTAGAAATGAATTACAGAAACAAAACAAAACAAACAATACACTACTTACTTTTCTATATAATGCACCACGTCGACATAAATCAAAGCCTAATTTGGTAGTGGATGAATTTTTGTTGATTTCATATGTAAGATTTTCTATTTCATTTGTAACTAACTGATAAGTAATTATTATAATAGAAAACAATGAAATATGTTAGTGTAAGGAGCATAGTTTAGAGTTTTATGGGTTATATATTATGAACTAGTTATATAATATATCGTTGTGGGGCAGGGTAATTTTACATTGGTTTTCTAGAGAACCAGATACCATCCAGACTTTCATGTAACAACCCAAACAGTACAGCTCAATACCGCTTCAAAGGAGTACAGCTCAATCCTGTGACACAACCACATAGGTACAAAGCACCCTGGTGGACCATTCGCACCATTCATATACACATTCATATCATATGTATAGTTATTCCAATCAATGATCACGTGAATCACCTAGGCACAACACGAACAGGCCAAAGTTGACCTATTCCGCTTACACGACAGTGAAACTCATTATTGTTAGCAATGGCGACATGCCTTACAATATCCCAATGACAATGACCCTTGCGAACACTAAAAAGCAACAACTAATATGAATGAAATCGGTTAACCAGGAAACCAATTTTGTGCATGAACAGTCAGTAGAACTTGCCAAAGTAATGCGGAACCATCCAAAATATCAATGGCGAACCCACCGTCTCATATGAGACCTTCAGCTCTACATAGCAATATAGCTTTATAGCTTATACTGCATACAACGCATATGTAGGGTGGTAGACGAAATAGCCCAGTTTGAAGCGTTAGGGCTTACAAAATACTCAAAACCCATTCATTGTCTAGTGTCGGAATACTATTACTAGGAATTAGGAAGCACTAAATAGCTATTTTTTTCCCAGTCAAGTATTCCCCAATAATTTGCATCCATAGCTTTTAATGGGATTACAAATAGAATTTTCTGGTTCCTCAAAGACCATATGAGCTTTAGATAAGTGAATTCATGGTATAGTGACTGATCGTTCTAGTCTCATTGGTGACTAATTTCGAAATGTAATTCCCAGAGTTCTAGTGGAAAATTGTGACTACCGAAGCTTAACTCTGCAGAGTACGAAACAGTTGCTTAACAATTACATTGTTCACTCCAGCCAGTACTCGAACCCACTACCGCCCGCTTCAAATACCATCGAATTATCCACTTAACTACTGAGTCCTGATAGACACTTGTTTGTGAAACGGGGTGAAGTTTAAATTCAATTTGTATTGTTTACTTGTATCTTTCTGTTGTTGTTTGGGACTGCAATTGATTAGTCTCTTATTGGAATACGTGCATCCTGTGAGGACTGCCTCGATATTGCTTGAAGTCACAAGCTTTATAAGCAAAGACAGTGGCTAGCAGAAGGAAGATACAAACATTACCAAGTGAGTATGGTAATGTGGTTTGAAATCCTTTTGCGATGAATTAGACACATTCAATCCTAATATTTCTTAAAAGTTTGAGTTTAATTATTATACTATACCGTTGATTCGTCAGTTCGTTCATTCTCTCCGAAATAACTTGGTTATGTTGCAGATTTACCACTAACATTATGTTTATTTTGATACCTCATCTATTCATATGAGTTCTGCCGGGTTTGTAGTGAGATAGTAACTCACTGAAGACAATGGTGGATGATGACACAATTTCGTGGATTAGTTGAAATTAGACATTAACACTATGGGGTGCCGGCTCAGTGGTATTGAGGTTAAACGTTCGCGCTAAAGACTGATAGGTCATGAGTTCAAATCTCATGAGGCGGGATCATGGCTACGTACTGCTGTGGATTTTCATACTAGGATGAATCGGCAATCCAGTGCTTCCAGGTTTCTCAAGGTGGTTTCGCTTCAATTGACTCATGATCTCAACTATTAAATCAATATTAATTGATGAAGAATAAGTTAGTCAGACAAATTATAATAGACAACAAGTAAAACTGATCATTTAATTTCAATCTGATTAAAAAGGTTTATAAAATCATTTGCACAAAATGGTGAACAATCATTAATATTTCGATGATAACTTGATTTTCACTCATTTATTACCGGTTAAAAATGATTCGAAGATATATGTTTCACACTGCTACCAAATACCCTGGTGGGGAGAGTCACTTCGTGTATACATCCATTGTCAAAGAATTCCTACTCAATGACTTCTCACGGGATTACTGTTGTTAACGGAATTGAGAACAAAACAGGAACGTCCGGTGCTGTAACTGGGTTGGTGGATACATAGAATCTACACAGGGGAGTTGGAAAACATGATTCCAAATCAATGATACACATGAGCTCCAGTATCCTGGAAGAAAAAATGGGGTATGAATCTATTGTTGATGACGAGCTACCATGAGACTGCATCTTCTGACGTTGCTCTACTACCTTGTGGATTAGACCTTTTAGGTCAATGTCTCTGGATATGGTTCCCATCTGCTTCGGTCTGGACACTTACGAAGTATTCCAACCCTCATACAAATCAATAATATCATTTTAGGGGTTGTGGAGATTATTAAGTTATTGATTGAGATCATGAATCGATTGATGTTAGACTACCATTGAAAACCTGAAAGTACTGGATGGCCGTTTTGTCCTATTGTAGAACTCCTAAGCAGTGCTCATCCACGATCCCGCTCGTGGGATTCGAACGCAGGACCTTCAATCTCACGCGCGAACGCTCAACCTACTGGACCATTGAGTAGGCATCCAATGGTGTTAATGTCCAACCTCAACCAATCCACGAAATCGCGCGACCACCTTCCATTGTACTGAGGTGGATGCTCACTGCCGAGGAGTCCCACAATAGGACGAAACGGCCGTCCAGTGCTTCCAGGTAGAATATATATATATTAAATTAATCAATTTACCTTAATATTCGTAGATTGATCTTGTTTAGTTGATCCAAAATATTCTAAAACTGGTTCAATATTTTCTGGTAATTTTTGATTGTTTTAATCCAATCAATTTGTATATTATTATTATTATTATTATTGATTTTTAATTGATTTTGTTTATATAATTCTATATCAGATAAATTTAAATGAATCGATTTTGTAGTTGTTATAGATGGATTATTTAAATTTTGAGGAGTTTTGTTGTCATGGTGATTAGATATATTCACTGATTTTTTATGAGAAATTGTTTCCAAATCATCCCTTCATAAGAAATAATAACAGTAATAATAATCGATATTATTTACCTTTTACTTATCAAAAATGTAGATTCAAATAATTCATTGTTTTAAAATTACTTACACCTGTTATCAAGCCTCATGAAGATGTATAGACCGTTCACTAGGATTCTCCATTCAATCCTATCATGGGCAATCCCTTTCCAGTTGCTATTCATCTTTTTCATGTCTGCTACCAATTATTGAAACAATATGTTCTTTGACCTACCGCTTTTCGTTTCCATTCAGGATTCCTAGTTAGCACTTGCTTCATGATAGAGTTTGATGATTTCAGAAATGTATGTCCTATCTACTTCCAACATCTTTTCCTAATGTCCTCCTCAGCTGGAAATTGGTTTGTTCCTTTCCACAGTAGACTGTTGCTGATGGTATGCGACCAACGGATATTGAGTAGACAACTGTTTATAAATACTTGTATCTTTTTTGATAATGGTTGTGGTTATTTTCTGTGGGATAGGGTCGCCAATCCTATGCCTAACTCTCCTTTTTAACCTCGAGCTTGTGACTAGCAGTAGCCTTAGAAGAGCTACAAGCGGAGTTTTTTTTAAAAGAATTTCTTATACTTCATGATAGTCTTTGTTCATCTAAATATTATTACATAATTCATGTTATAATAATAATTATCTATTGTGAAATCCTACTTTCTATATTGTTTTATTCCATATCTAGATGACGTCTAATAGTGTGGAGAACGAGAATATAAATGGAAACAGTCAAATGTATTTGAATACGAAGTTGTTTCATCCTCTTTGCGACTCGTCAGCTAGATATACCTATATCTCAGAGTTGATGTTCACTCCAGACGAAACTCTAACACAGTACCGTTCGATTCAAATGCCATCGTGTTATCTACTTAGCGACTGAGTTCTGATAGCTACTTGGTTGTGCAATGGAGTGAAGTTTAAATTCACTTGATTTTGTTTTACTTGTATCTTCCCATTGATGTTTAGGACTGCAAATGATCAGTCTGTTATTGGCATTTATGGCGTTTCAAGAGAACGGTACTGGGTCGGAGTCCCAGAGTGAACATCAACTGTGGGATGCAGGTACATCCAGTTGACGAATCATAAATAGGACGAAACGCGCTTTGTCCTGGATTCCACTGTTAGCCACTATCCATTTTGTTATGTTCAATTGCTGCATCTAAATTGTATATTACCGTCCCAGAGATTTATGTTAACATCATGAAAACTCTAATATCAGAATGGGTTTTGTGGAGATTTTTAGAAATTTCACTGGTTGAAATCATGAGTCAATTGAAGCTAGACCATCATGGAAAATCTGGAAGCACTAAACGGCCGTTTCATCCTAGTATAATGAATCTTAGTCTGATTATAATCATCATATGCTTACTAGTGACTGGTTTCAAGAGGTATTTTCTGGAGTTCTAGTGAGAAGCAGTGACCAGTGGAGTTCAACCAGGTCTGTTTTGAGATAGTAATTCACTTAACACAATGTTGAATGGTGGCGCAATTTTTTAGATTGGTTGAAGTTAGACATTAACAACGTTGGATGCCGGCTCAGTGGTGTAGAAGTTAAGCGTTCGTGTGTGAGATTGATAAATCCTGGGTTGTAATATCGCAAGGCGGGATCGTCGATGTGCACTGTTGAGGAGTCCTATAGTAGGATGAAACGGTCGTCCAGTGCTTCCACCTTTTTAATGGTGATCTAGCTTCAATTGACTCGTGAATTCAATTATTAGATTACTACAAACTCCACAAAACCCCTCTCTGATTAAAACAAATAAATAAGTAAAAGAGTTCAATGGCGAGACTATAATTTATGGATGAATCAATCAAATATAAGATAACAGGTCTTAGATGTTGGCGCGAAATTCATTCATCCATTTGACTAAATAGCATCTTGATATTTTAGTTGATATCATTTCGTGATGAAAACTCTAAATCTAATGAGGGTAAACCTCACAATTGATTGATCAATGGGTGGTGATCAATGTCATACGTGTCAAGTCCTTATTTAGTGCAGATCGAATGCTATCGACCATGTGTCGAGTCACCTAGACTGGTGGCCACATTGCAACATGGTCGATAGAATTCGATCTACACCAAATAAGGACTTGATACACATGACATTGATCACCACCCAGTGACCAACCAATTGTGATTACATCTCAGTCCTACAGGAAGTCAATCGCGGCCCGGATAGCTCAGCGGTAACGTCTCTGATTGTGGATCCGGGTCACACGAGATCGAATCCGCCAGGGAGCGCTAGTTCCCTCGAGATTACAGGTACACCTTGCTGACGAGGGTTAGCCTCATTTACCCTTAGTACTTAGGTGAACACTCTCAAGGTCACTTTAGCGTTGCTCAAAGGTCATCCATAAATAATGGTCTTATCACTTCAACAACTAATATTCAAATAAAATTCACTTACATGTGATTATTAGTAGTATGTACAATACAATCATCATTCGAATGGATTGTTGTAACTAAAACAATTAAAACAATTATGATTATTCTAAATGAAATTTATCATTAAAATGATACTATAGAATAATCATATAGAATATCATGTAGTGAATGACTCTCCTAGGTAAACTCTTCGTGTCAACCAACCTGATTAAAGCGCCGAACATTCGTTTTTCGTCCTGTGAATTTCGTAAAATACCTCCCCACCACCACCACCACCACGAGAAGGGAGTGAGTAAGATTTCCCTGACAGTGGTTGTATGCATGTGGGTATGTGAGAGCATTTCGAGAGGGATAACTGACTTTCCACACCCTCGGGCGTACCACGGTATTTGGGAGCTAAGTGTAGCGTCATGAATGGGAAGTGTATTGTCAGAGTGGAAGACTAAATTATACTTTGATTATGCTTTGGGAAGTTTAACTGAATCTCATAAACTTGTGGTTAAGAAGTATGTAAATACTTATTGTTCAGTATATATCCCATACATTCAAACTATTCACAACTCGAGGATTGTGTGGAATGTTTTTTAATCTTAAACTTCTTTCATTTGCATTCACTATTAACACGAGATATCTGATTACCAAAACTTTTCTGAATAACTTAATGTAAGAGGCCAAACCAGCTTCCAGTAAAAGAGGGAATTAGGAAAAGACGTTGGAAATGGGTAGAACATGCATTACGGAAATCAGCAAACTGTATCTTGAGAGAAGCCCCAACTTGGAATCCTGAAGCGAAACATAAAAGAGGAAGGTCGAAGAACATGCTGAGTCGAGAATCGGAAGCAGAAATGAAAAAGATGAATAGCAACTGGACAGGATTATCCAGGACAAAGCTGGATGCAGAATCTTAGTGGGAGGCCTATACTCCTCTACGAGGGATAACAGGCATAAGTAAGATGTTAGCTGCTTATCTGTTAAAGTAATATTTTTGAACAGTACAGGTTTGATGAAGTGTCGAAATGGAGGTCACAAAACTAAGTATTTTATTCATTTTGGCATCTAAAAATTCTTTGAATACATTATTAGCACAGAAATGCAGTTGTCGATTCAAATCCCATAGTGGTAGAGGTAGTGAGAGTATAAGCAGTAATCGGAAAGATTAGGATTTGAAGATGTTATTCAAGAAGTATAATCCAGTGAAATAAATTTGGAAAGAGAAAAAAAGAAAGGGACATGAAGAATTCAGAAGATTAGAATTCGGGAGAACCACAAAAAGTGGATCCACCTGCACCATTGCAAAAGATTTTGAGCCATGTCACATTCAAAGTCTCTAACCATCGGTTGCTATCCTCTGGTGGATCCTAACTCGATAGTCTACACTCACTAACATGGCTCAGTCCACCTATCAGTGACTTCATGGATTTGTGGCACGTTTTGGTCTGGCCACCCCTAGTTTCCTTCCAACCTAATCCTACACCAGAGAACATCGCACGTTGGGGCAGTCAGTGGTTGGGCATACGTAATACGCGTCCCAGCTATCTCAAGTGGTGAAGTTTCAATACTTCATCAATTGATTTGTCATGCCTGACATAAGTACCCGTTTCCTAACAACTGCGTTACTTATTCGATGGTCCCAGAATATACGAGCAATGTTTCGGCGACATCTAGGATCGAATACTAGTAACCTACGAATATCCTATACGCTTAGCGGCCATGTTTCACTGCCATAAAGCAAGACGGAACCCGTCCTTTGGTTGATAGACGGATATCTCGCCTACGCCAAAATGACGCGAATTCGTAAAGGCTAGTCGAGCCCTTTGTATCCGTGCTGAGATTTCGTCACACACCAGACCACAAGGGCTGATGAGACTTCCAAGATAAGCGAAGCGGTCGATACACTCAACTAGTTCACTGCCTATCATTAGTTCGGGTGTCGATGCAATCAAGTCCTGAAGCAACATTTCGCATTTCGAGGGAGAGAATCGCATCCCGAACATACCTGCATTGTTGCTTAGAGTGGTCAGAAGATTCTGCATTTCGTCAGCGTCTTCAACAAATAAAGCTATGTCATTAGCATATTCTAAGTCAACAAGTGAACCTCCTGGTAGAAGTTCGACACCTGGAAATTTAGATGAGGAAAGCGTTGTCTCTGAAAGGACGTTGTTATGACTTTAAATCGGGTCGATTATTTACCCTGTGCTAATTGTCGTGTCCTTGACTGAAAAATTAGAGAGCAGCGTACTTATCGATCGATTACAGTGACACGTAAACACGTACGGACGGCCTAGGGTCTTGATTGGTTTGGCTTCCCTGTCCAGCCCAGTCAGTTGAGTCCAGAACACAAGTCACAACCTCTGAGATATGAATTACTATATTCCAAACATACTTTGTTTATATACCAATCAAGCATACCACATCGTACCATAAAATAGAAAACAACATTTTGTACAATATTCAACAAGTGGACAGATATCGACCAATAGGAAATGTCCATTTAAAGTCCAAGGACACCATTGGACTTAACATGATAATTATTGGTCTATTCCTCCGCATCCACAACACCTCCCCCTTTATTTTGAAGATCCGGAGTTGATATCCGTATTTTGAAATTTTCTGGGTTCATCCTCCCCCACGAAATAATGTTGGGTCCTCATATCCCCAAGTTAAAATTAATTTGACTTTATTTAACACATAATTGTCACATGGAACAGAGAAGTCACTAAAAGTGATTAAGTAGTGTGGACCAACGTCGCTTGATATGAGGTCATCAACGTTCGATTCTTCTGGAACATTATCATAGAATTCCTTGGAAATCTCATTTGTGGATAGTTGATCACTGGGATAATTAACATCTATCAAAAATGTATTAAACTTCTGATCATCATTTGGTGCATCTAACACATTTTCTGGTACAAGAGGATCTAGATAATAAGATTCATCAGAATCTCCTGTTGTTGACTGGTGAGGACCGTTTGGAGCAGCTAGACTCAGTAATACTGCACGATTTGTTTCCTGTTTCCTTGTGAGAGGGTACTGTAATTAATTTATGAGCATTTAATAAGAGATCTTCTTCCTGTGAGCTGGGTACATCACTGTCTGTACACGTTTCAGGAACAGTGGGATTTGAACCCACGACAGGGAATGTTTCGGAATTTGACATTTCTGGACAACTGGGCGGATCATGAATAACTGTCTCGTTTGCATCACTGGTCGTCCGGGATTCACAGAGGCTTTTATAAACAGCTTCATATGTTCTGCAGTTATTTTCCAGCTCAGTCTGCAGATGAGAAATGAACTTAACAACTTCTGTTGCATCTCCGAAACATGGAAGATTTACTAACCGTGTGCGTAAATTTTCTAAAAAATTTAACTGGCTATTTTAGAAGCGCTGCAGTTGGCGATCAAGTAGAAGCTGTAATTGATCGGAAAAGGTAGTCTTTTTTTCTTTTCTGCACCAGCAGTGAAAATTAACTGTAGGAATAATGACCAATGTTGCTCAAGGACGCTGATGACAATCTGGATACTGATTGGTCGAAACAATTAGCCTGAATCTCGTCCAATTACAAGGTTCAAAATTTTTCTTTACCCCGTCGCCAACTGTTATAACGTGTGATCTTCTAGAGCATTATTCAGACCAGTGGAAAAGTCAGCACATATGCGAACAGTTCCATTCGCTTTTCTCACGATCACTATGGGGGCAGCCCACGATGAATAATTTACTGGGTCAATGACACTTAGTGCTTCTAACCTGTCCAATTCTTGGTCAACGACTGACAGAGCAGCATAAGGCACTGGTCGTTTCGGTCTGAAAATGGGCTTTGCATTTTCCTTTAGTGATAAGGATACTTCGGTGAATTTACAACAGCCCAGTTTGTTTTGAAATACACATGCATGTTTTTGCCGAAGATGGTTTATGTAAGATACGGACGACAATTGAGAGGAAACAGAAGACTTTGATGTAGACATAACATTAGAACGAAGTACATGAGATTCCGAAGTCTCACCAGCGCATACTTTGTCTGAAGTATTCGATTTGGGAATTTTATGAGAGCGTATTAAATCGGCGGTATTTGATTTGACATCGTGAGAACACATAACATTTCAATTGTTTGATTCAGAAAGATTATAAGTACATGTTTCATTAGAAGCATTTAATTCGTGAATATCCAGAGAGGATGATTCATCGGAGGCATTCGATTTAGAAATATCATTAGGGATTTGGATAGACTCATAGGAAACATTATGAGAACATACCTCATCTAATAATTTATTCAAGGTATCAACATGCGCAATCCAATCTAATCCCAATAAATCTAAATCGTGTCGATTTGTGAGATAACAAACATCTGTAAATTTACTTCCCATGAGTTGAACGTTGCATAGAACCTCTCCTGTCAACTTCACTATATCTCCTGAAGCATTTCGAGCGACATGTTCCGTCGGTCGGATGCGTGGGCATCCTAACTTGTGCCATGTGTTCTTGAGATCAACGTAACATCAGAGGCAGTGTCCAATTGAAGTCGTATGGGTTTTTCATCTACTAAGAAATTTACAAATTTCCGCCTACTTTTAAATCCAACTTTAAAAGTTGCAAACGTGGTTTTAATTCGACTGTTTGCTCGTTGCTTCGAATTTTCACTACGATGTTTAGTCTTGCGTTTATTTAACGAACAATGACCTTCTTTGTGGCCAATGCGATGAAAATTCGAAGCAACGAGCAAACAGTCGAATTAAAACCACGTTTGCAACTTTTAAAGTTGGATTTAAAAGTAGGCGGAAATTTGTAAATTTCTTAGTAGATGAAAAACCCATACGACTTCAATTGGACACTGCCTCTGATGTTACGTTGATCTCAAGGAACACATGGCACAAGTTAGGATGCCCACGCATCCGACCGACGGAACATGTCGCTCGAAATGCTTCAGGAGATATAGTGAAGTTGACAGGAGAGGTTCTATGCAACGTTCAACTCATGGGAAGTAAATTTACAGATGTTTGTTATCTCACAAATCGACACGATTTAGATTTATTGGGATTAGATTGGATTGCGCATGTTGATACCTTGAATAAATTATTAGATGAGGTATGTTCTCATAATGTTTCCTATGAGTCTATCCAAATCCCTAATGATATTTCTAAATCGAATGCCTCCGATGAATCATCCTCTCTGGATATTCACGAATTAAATGCTTCTAATGAAACATGTACTTATAATCTTTCTGAATCAAACAATTGAAATGTTATGTGTTCTCACGATGTCAAATCAAATACCGCCGATTTAATACGCTCTCATAAAATTCCCAAATCGAATACTTCAGACAAAGTATGCGCTGGTGAGACTTCGGAATCTCATGTACTTCGTTCTAATGTTATGTCTACATCAAAGTCTTCTGTTTCCTCTCAATTGTCGTCCGTATCTTACATAAACCATCTTCGGCAAAAACATGCATGTGTATTTCAAAACAAAATGGGCTGTTGTAAATTCACCGAAGTATCCTTATCACTAAAGGAAAATGCAAAGCCCATTTTCAGACCGAAACGACCAGTGCCTTATGCTGCTCTGTCAGTCGTTGACCAAGAATTGGACAGGTTAGAAGCACTAAGTGTCATTGACCCAGTAAATTATTCATCGTGGGCTGCCCCCATAGTGATCGTGAGAAAAGCGAATGGAACTGTTCGCATATGTGCTGACTTTTCCACTGGTCTGAATAATGCTCTAGAAGATCACACGTTATAACAGTTGGCGACGGGGTAAAGAAAAATTTTGAACCTTGTAATTGGACGAGATTCAGGCTAATTGTTTCGACCAATCAGTATCCAGATTGTCATCAGCGTCCTTGAGCAACATTGGTCATTATTCCTACAGTTAATTTTCACTGCTGGTGCAGAAAAGAAAAAAAGACTACCTTTTCCGATCAATTACAGCTTCTACTTGATCGCCAACTGCAGCGCTTCTAAAATAGCCAGTTAAATTTTTTAGAAAATTTACGCACACGGTTAGTAAATCTTCCATGTTTCGGAGATGCAACAGAAGTTGTTAAGTTCATTTCTCATCTGCAGGCTGAGCTGGAAAATAACTGCAGAACATATGAAGCTGTTTATAAAAGCCTCTGTGAATCCCGGACGACCAGTGATGCAAACGAGACAGTTATTCATGATCCGCCCAGTTGTCCAGAAATGTCAAATTCCGAAACATTCCCTGTCGTGGGTTCAAATCCCACTGTTCCTGAAACGTGTACAGACAGTGATGTACCCAGCTCACAGGAAGAAGATCTCTTATTAAATGCTCATAAATTAATTACAGTACCCTCTCACAAGGAAACAGGAAACAAATCGTGCAGTTTACTGAGTCTAGCTGCTCCAAACGATCCTCACCAGTCAACAACAGGAGATTCTGATGAATCTTATTATCTAGATCCTCTTGTACCAGAAAATGTGTTAGATGCACCAAATGATGATCAGAAGTTTAATACATTTTTGATAGATGTTAATTATCCCAGTGATCAACTATCCACAAATGAGATTTCCAAGGAATTCTATGATAATGTTCCAGAAGAATCGAACGTTGATGACCTCATATCAAGCGACGTTGGTCCACACTACTTAATCACTTTTAGTGACTTCTCTGTTCCATGTGACAATTATGTGTTAAATAAAGTCAAATTAATTTTAACTTGGGGATATGAGGACCCAACATTATTTCGTGGGGGAGGATGAACCCAGAAAATTTCAAAATACGGATATCAACTCCGGATCTTCAAAATAAAGGGGGAGGTGTTGTGGATGCGGAGGAATAGACCAATAATTATCATGTTAAGTCCAATGGTGTCCTTGGACTTTAAATGGACATTTCCTATTGGTCGATATCTGTCCACTTGTTGAATATTGTACAAAATGTTGTTTTCTATTTTATGGTACGATGTGGTATGCTTGATTGGTATATAAACAAAGTATGTTTGAATATAGTAATTCATATCTCAGAGGTTGTGACTTGTGTTCTGGACTCAACTGACTGGGCTGGACAGGGAAGCCAAACCAATCAAGACCCTAGGCCGTCCGTACGTGTTTACGTGTCACTGTAATCGATCGATAAGTACGCTGCTCTCTAATTTTTCAGTCAAGGACACGACAATTAGCACAGGGTAAATATTCGACCCAACTAAATTTATAACACACGTCAAGGACAAAGTTAAACAAGAATGGAGAGATTGGACAGCCCTGACAAACACCACTCGAGGTACTCAATTCTGATAACATTTCGCCATAAGCTCTTACTCCATCAGTTGTGTCGGAGTAGATAGCCTTTATAAGGTTAATGTACTTCTTTGGTACTCCTTTCAGTAACAAACAGTGCCACAGAACCTCAGTACAATGGAAGATGCTCGAACAATTAAATGGATTGGTTGATGTTAGACATTAACACAATTGGTTGCCGGCTCGGTGGTCTATTTGGTTAAGCGTTCGCGCACGAGACTGAAGACCCTTGGTTCGAATCCTGCGAGCAGGATCATGGATGCGCACCGCTGAGGAGCCCCACAACAGGACGAAAAGGCCGCCCAGTGCTTCCAAGTTTCCAACGGTGGTCTAACATCAATCGGTTCATGATCTCAATCAAAAACTTAGTAATCTCCACAACCCCTATACTGATGATCAACTTCAGTCCCGAATAACAATGGAAAGATGCAAGTAAAACAAAATCAAGTGAATTTAAACTTCACTCCATTGCATAACCAAGTAGCTATCAGAACTCAGTCGCTAAGTAGATAACACGATGGCATTTGAATCGAACGGTACCGTGTTAGAGTTTCGTCTGGAGTGAACATCAACTCTGAGATGTAGGTACATTTAGCTGACGAGTCGCAAAGAGGATGAAACATGAGTGCTAGATTCCACTGCTAACCACTATCCATCTTTACTTATAATCATATTTTATATTCAAAAAAAGTTCAGGTTACTTACAGATTTTATTCTTTTCGTTGGAATTATAATCTTCTGGTGATATCTTGTCTTCCAGATTATCAATAGTCTGATCTTCCATATCTAATATTAACTTTCTTTGTTGGGTTAACTGGATAGAATTGACAGAACAGAAAAAGATAGTTAGTTGGATAGTGTACAAAAGTTTGAAAAAAAACAAACAAACACCACAAAATGGTAGTACCTAAACAATTAAGGCATCGAAGAGATTTAGATTGACTGATAAGACTAGCTGTTTTTCACATTGATCGAAATAACAAATATGAGTTATTGAGGTCGAATTCCATTTCCCGATAATATCCTATTCGGTCATAGATGAAGTGGTAAGTTAGCATTTCTAAAGCGTCCTAAACTAAACTTGATACAGATATACAGTGTCATCTATTTTTTATTACATTTTGGTTAAAGAATGTATGTTTTTAATATTTCAATAATTGGAAATGATGCTGGCACTCTTGATGTCAGTTACTTCAATATTCATCTAAACAAAACATATATCTTTTTGATTGAAATCATGAGTCAATTGAAGCTAGAATACCATGGAAAATCTGGAAGCACTAGACAGCCGTTTCGTCCTATTGTGGGACTCCTCAGAAGTGCGCATACCACGACCTTGCCCTCTACGAGATTCGAACTCAGGATCTACTGGTTTCGCGCGCGAGCACTTAACCACTAGACTATTAGACTCATGGCCTTAACCATTGAAATTACTATAATATCCACAAAACCCATCTGATATTAGTCAATAAATGGTATAAAACTTTGAAAGATATTTTTAAAGCTGATTATATTTGATTACTGTATTACGATTTTACTGGACATTAAAAGTTGAATGCTCTGCTACATTTTAACCCCATATATATTTTACAAGAAAATATGGATGGTGGCTAGCAGTGGAATACAGGACAAAGCGCGTTTCGTCTTATTTAGGACTCGTCAGCTAGATGTATCTGCATATCACAGTTGATGTTCATTTTAAAACTCCAAAACAGTACCGTTCTCTTCAAACGCTACATATCCCGATAATAGACTGATCAATTGCAGTCCTAAACATCAATGGGAAGATTCAAGTAAACGATACCAAGTGAATTTAAACTTCACTCCATTGAACAACCAAGTGGCTATCAGGACTCAATAGTCAAGTGAATAATGCTATGGCGTTTGAAGCGAACGGTACCCGGTTTGAGTCCTGGCTGGAGCGAACATCAACTCTGAGATGCAGGTACATTTAGCTGACGAGTCTCAAACAGAACGGAACACCTGTCCTAGAATCCATTGCTAGCCACAATCATCTTTGTTTAGAATGCTTGTGAATTAAGGCAATATGGAGGCGATCCGTACAGTAGGCATACATAGCAATAAGAGACTGATCAGTTGCAGTCTTAAACATCAATGGGAAGATTCAAGTGCACAATAACAATGCATCTATTTTACAGTTCGACAAAGTTTTTTCTTAGAATGTATCAATGTTTATGACTAACAAAACTGGAGATCTTAAAATCTTAGTTATCAATATTGGTAGTGAAGTCGATTAATATTTATAGTAAGAATTATTCTGAAGTTAATTAATCAGTCATTATACTATTTACTTACTTACGTACGCCTGTTACTTCTCGTGAAGAAGTGTAGGCCGCTCACTAGCATTCTTCATCTAACCCTGTCCTAGGCAATCCTTTCAAGCTCCTTCCATTTGTTATTCATCCTTTTCATATCTACTTCTATTTCCCGATGTAATGTGTTCTTTGGCCTTCCTCTTTTCGCTTCCCTTCAGGATTCCAAGTTAGGGCTTGCCTCGTGACGTAGTTTGATGATTTGCGTAATGTATGTCCTACCCATTTCCATCGTCTTTTCCTAATTTCTTCTTCAGCTGGAAGCTGGTGATAATTAGCGCTTGCAATATTCCACTAATGTTATTTATACAGTAATGAAAGTCAGTTCTAGCGTACGGAGTTGAAACTCGGAGAACTACTAAAACCATCATCAAGAACGTACAAGCATTTATAAATAGTTTTCTACGTAAGATACCTAATGTCTGTTAACAGGATACTATCAGTGATAGCCTACTATGGATGAGAATAAACCAACTTTCAACTGAAGAAGTTATAAAAATACGGTAGAAATGAGCTAGACATACATTACGGAAATCATCAAATTGTATCACAAGACAATCGCTAACTTGAAATCCTGAAGGGAAACAGAAAAGAGAAAGGCCATAGAACACAATGAGTCAGGAATCGGAAGCAGACATTAAAGGGATGAATAGCAAATAGAAACAAATGTAAAGGATACTTAAAGAAAATTGAATCATTAAATGAAGAACATTCATTGATCAATTAATCAATATTATAAACTTACTTCATGTAATATACTTGAAAAATTTTGATTGATAACCAATTCACCAGTTGGTTGATTCATTAAATTCGGTGAACTATGATATAAGTTGCTGAATTCAGGTTGCCATGGTAACTAAAATAAATTAAAGTAAATCGAATAGTATTCAGTGAATTCTTATTCTAAATGTTATGTTATGTTATGTCATTGAACATTCAATCTCTGCTATGATGATCTCAATTATTAATAACTAAATACAATTCAACTTGGGTAAGCATAGGATACAGTGGATAGCTAGGATGCAGCTAGACGATCTAGACTTTGCCGATGATCTGGTTCTTCTATTACACATACAACAACAAATGCATGAGGAGCTGACTAGTGTAGCAGCAGACTTAGCAGTAGTAGGTCTCAACATACACAAAGGGAAAAGAAAGATTCTCCGATACAATACGACATGCACTAATCGAATCACACTTGACGGAGAAGCTTTGGAGGGAGTAAAAAATGTTAAATATCTGGGGAGCTTCATTAATGAACACAGTGGATCTAATGCAGACGTGAAGGCGCGGATTGGCAAAGCAAGAGCAGTATATCTACAACTGAAGAACATCTGGTACTCGAAACAATTGCCAACTAACACCAAAGTCAGAATTTTCAATACAAATGTCAAAATAGTTCTACTGTATGGGATGGACACTTGAAGAGCCACGAAAGCCATCATCCAGAAGATACAGGTGTTTATTTACAGTCGTCTACACAAAATACTTCGGATCCATTGACCAGACACTATCAGTAACAACCTACTGTGGTAGAGAATAAACCAGATTCCAACGGAGGAAGAAATCAGGAAGAAGTGCTGGAAGTGGATAGGACACACATTGAAGAAAGCACTGAACTGCGTCAAAAGGCAAGCTTTCATCTGAAACTTTCAAGGCCAAAGGAGGAGAAGACCAAAGAATACATTACTCCGACAAAATGGAGGTAGACATGAGAAGAATGAACAACAACTGGATAGAACTAGAATGAAAGGCCCAGGAAAGAGTGTGTTGAAGAATGCTGATCAGCGGCCTAAGTAAATACAATCCAAACTGTACATAAATACTTTCGAAATAAATGCAGTCAATCAGTTATAAATAACGTAGGACTTGACATATATATATATATATATATATATATATAAGTCCAAGGTTCGGATCCCGAGAGCGTGATCAAAGATACGCACAGCTAAAGAGTCCCATACTAGGATGAAACGACCGTCCAGTGTTTCTACGTTTTCCATGGTTGTCTAGCTTTAATTGATTCATGATCCCAACTATTAAAATTACTATAATATCCACAAAAACCCCTTCTGATACTAATCAACATATACTCATTAACGATTAGCTTCAAGAGGTATTTCCTGGAATTCTAGTGGTAGTGACTTGTGGAATTCAACTGAGTCTGTTGTGAGGTAGTAACTCACTGAAAACAATGCTGAATGTGTCGCTCAATTTCGTCGATTATTTGAAGTTAGACATTAACACCGTGGGATGCCGTCTCAGTGGTCTACAGGTTAAGCATTCACGAGCGAGATCTATGGTCCTGGGTTCGAATCGCGTAGGCGGGGACATGGTTGCGCACAGTTAAAGAGTCCCATACTAGGACGAAACGGCAATTCAGTGCTTGTAGGTTTTCAATGATTATCTAGCTCATGAATTCAACTATGAAATAGTTTTATGGTCGAAATAACACATTAAGTTCTAAAGATAACCGTTGTATTGCGCAAAGAGTTGAATTGAAAGAAGACATATCCATGAATGTTATTTTGTGTTGAATCGATACTTATTTCTAGAAATCACGTTAATGAGTGATATATTGATGATAAAATTTCTTGATGAATGTTAAATAAATGGGTTTTGTGAAGAGATCATGCCTTTAGTCATTGGTGGGATGTAATTTACTGAAGTCCCATACTAAACTTAATCAGTAAACTATTGCTATTAATCGTACCTCCTACTGGTGTAATTCATCGTCGACTACCACTTTCAAATCCGAGATAGGTTTCGGTTTATGTTGTCAGTAAAAATATGAATACTGATGGCTTTACCATGATCAGCAGGTTCAGTCAGCCTAAGATATATGTGAGTGATTGTTATGTTTTTTGACATAATAGACAAAAGGCTATCTGAAATTTGATCCTTTTTCAGTCTCCAATCTGAGAACGCTGCCTTAACAAAGTAAACAGATTGACAGTGAATGATAGATGGAGGCAATCCAAGCCACTCATGGATATTCGCTTTGTTCATGTTTGATATCAATCCCAAGCCTCTGCAACTGTTAATATGAGTATGTGCAACTGAATGAGTTGTATATTCAATACTTAACTATGGGTGATTTACACGTTGTGAGATTCATGTATCCTCTAGGCTAGAAACATGTTAATGTATAGTTAATACTTGGTGAAACTGATATAATCACAAAACCATGCTTTATAGCATGTTGAGAATTTGTTAATATTTTACTTCTCTTCAGTTACATAACATTTAGAAACCATTGTAATGTTGAATGTTTACCAGTAACAATAGACCACTGTTTATCGAGTTTACAGCATAGTGACTAAATTAAGGAATTTGAAATCCCTTTGAAGTTTAATTATAGAAAACTGGTAAAAAGGATTACATAATGTAGGTCGTTTGTTTGACATGATCGTATTCTAACGACTGATTCAAACTATAAAATGGATGGTGGGTAGCAGTGAAGTCTAGTAAGAACGTTTCGTCTCATTTGTGACACGTCAGCTGAATGACCTATATCTCAGAGTTGGTGTTCACTCTGGGATTCAGAATGTTTGTTTCAAACAGCATCACGTTATTCACTAAGCTACTGGATCCAGATAGCCAGCTTGTGCAGTTTGATGAAGTTTAGTTTATTTTTGTATTGGTTGTTTGAATCTTCCCATTGACATTTAATACTGAAACTGATCAATCTTTTATTGGCATATGTGCATCTTGTGTGGAATGTCTCAACTCTGGGATGCAGGCACATCCATTTGAGGAATCTGAAGCAGGATGAGATGCACGGCTTGGATTCTACTGCTAGACACCACCACACTTAGCTTATCATTCTTGTGACTTAAGGAAATCCGCACAGGATGCATATATGCCAATAAGAGATTGATCAACTTCAGTCCTGAACGTAAATAGGTAGGTCCAAACAATTAATACTCATCTGAATCGTGATTCGTGAATTGGGAATTCATCAAGTAGCGCTCCAATTGACTTGTCTTCTCTTACTTGTTGACCAATCAGGTGATAGGATAGTTGTTGTCAATTTGCCTAAGGCCATTAGTTTCAATTTGAACTCAAGTATTTCATACCCCAAGTTTGAAGCAGTTAGCCTATAACAAGTTCTTTCATGTATTTCACTGGTTGAAATCATGAGTCATTTGAAGCTAATCACCATGGAAAACCTGGAAGCACTGGACGACCGTTTCGTCCTAGTATGGGACTCCTCAGCAGTGTGCATCCACGATCCCATCCCCCGCGACATTCGAACCCAGGACCTATCAGTCTCGCGCCAGGCGCTTAACCAACTAGACCACTGAGCTGGCATTAGGTAAACAAATCAAGGACATAATAAAACTAATCACTTACTTTGAAATTATTAATATCACAACTTTTAGATCGATTCAAGCGTAAACTGTAATAAAAATGATAAAGAATAAAACTTTATTGAAGTTGCATGGAATATGGATATAAATTTGACTTAAAACATGTTCACGTTCATGGATAATTATGTTCTAAGAATATCAGAGATTTCCTATGACGCTAGCACAATCAAATTATAGATTAACAGAGGCTAAAGAAGTTTATCAAGAACTTACTTAATCAAGTTACTCCTTGTGGAGAAGCATTGGTCGATCACTAGCACTCTCCATCCAACCTTGTTATGTGCAATCCTTTCCAGTTGTTATTCAACCTTTTCATATCTACTTCCATTTCCCGATGCCGTGTGCTATTTGGCCTTCGTCTTTTTCGTTTTCCTCAACATTCCAAGTTAGTGCTTGCCTCGTGATTCAGTTTGGTGATTTCCGTAATGTAAGTCCTATCCACTTCCAACATCTTTTCATAAATTCCTCTTCAGTCAGAAACTGGTTTGTTCTCAACCACAGTAGGCTGTTCGCAGATGGTATCCAATCATTGGACATTGAGTATCTTGAGTAGACAACTATTTATAAATAATTGTACATTTTTGATGATGGTTGTAGTAGTTCTCCAAGATTCAGCTCCATACAGTAGGACTGTCTTGACTTTCGTATTGAAGATTCTGACTTTAATATTGGTTGACAGTTAGTTTGAGTTCCACATGTTCTTCAATTGCAGGAATGCTGTTCTTGCTTTGCTAATCCTCACCTTTACATCTACATCAGATTCTCCTCGTTAATGGATGATGTTTCCCAGGTACGTGAAGGATTCCACCTCTTCCAGAGCTTCTTCATCAGTTGTTACTGAGTTGGTGTTCTCAATAAAAATTTGAGAAGCTTTCTTTTTCCTCTGTGTATGTTGAAGTTCACTGATGCAAAGGCTGCTGCTACACTAGTTGTCTTCATCTGCATTTGTTGTTGTGCATAGAATAGAAGGAGCAGGTCATCTGTGAAGTCCAAACCGCCCTGTTGCATTCAAAATGTCCGTTGTATTCTGTCTTCCCATCAGGTGTGGAAATCTTCATAATCCAGTCGACCAACACCAGAAGAAAATGAAAGGTAAGGAGTAAGCAGCTTTGCCTGAAGATAATCCTTACTTGGAATGCATCTTTCAACTGTCCTCCCCACACGACATTGCAGTGTTGTCTGCTATATGAATTTCAGATGATATTGACAATCTTCTCAGGTACACCATATTGTCACATAAGTTTTACATAAAGTCCTCTTATCCACACTTTCAAATGCTTTGTCACAGTCAAAGAAGTCAATGTATATTGGCGAATCTAGACTGGCAGTCATCATATTATAATGAAGCCATCCAGGTTAGAAAACATCAAAACCTCTCATAAATAGTTAGCAATACAGATTGTGTTCACAGATTATTTGCACAATGAATAAACATTCGAATAGAAAGACTTCAGTCACTATAACACAAATGGTTTACTAAATCACTGACCATTGAAAACATTGATGAAAGCTAAGCGATGTGAAATACATCTACGGTTATATAATATACCCTTATGAGACAAGGTAATTTTACATTGGTTTTCAGGAGAACCAGATATCATTCAAACTTTCACTTGACAACCTGAGCAGTACAGCTCAATCCCACTTCACAGGGGAACCAGATACCGTATAGGTTTTAACGCTACAATCTGAATAGTACAGCTCAATCCTGTGGCGCAACCACACAGGTACCATACACCCTGGTGGACTATTCGTATCATTCATATATACATTCATATCACATGTATAATTATTCCGCTCAATGAATCGCGTAAATCAATTATGCACAACACGAACAGGCCAAAGTTGACCTATTCTGCTTACACGACAATCAAACTCATTAATGTTTTGCAATGGCGACATGCCTTACGATGTCACAATGACAATGGCTCTTGCGAACACTAAAAAGCAACTACCAGTATGAATGAAATCAGTTAACCAGCAAAACCAATTTCGCACATGATCAGTCAGTAAAACTTGCCAAAGTAATGCGGAACCATCCAAAATATCAATGGCGAACCTTCAGTCTCATGTGAGACCTTCAGCTTTACATAGCCTTATAGCTTGTGAAATATACCATGTACAAACAACTTACTTTGAATTTGTTTTCTGGTTAACCCGACTATTTTCTTCTAATAATGAATCTAACGGGAACCAAGGTTCAATTGGTTCACGTATACCATATGAACAACATTTCTTTGTTGTATTAGAACATAGAATTGGTACCTTTTCTACATGAATAAAAATATCAATAAAATATTTTAGAACTATTTAAATTACAACATTACTGCTATGGGAAAATAGTCAATTCACTTGTTATTACACAAGCAAGTGACTATCAGGATTTAGTAGCTGAGAAGATAGTGTGATGGTACAGCTGAGGGTGAGGAGAGTCAGCCCTCTCTCTCCAAATGCTCTTACATGGTCAGGTGCATACAACAACTGACAAGGAAGTCCTACTCACTGCTTTCTCACGGTGGGTGTGTTGTTCACGAAGTTGAGAGGACGCTTTACCCGGGCTAGTGGACACATAGAGGAGGTGGGAAACTCTGATCCCAACCCAATAATACACATGTGCTCCAGTATCCTGAGGGAAGGAATGGAGTATGAATCAACTGTTGGTCAGTGATTACCATAGGACTTCATGTTTTAAAGTTGCTCCACTGCCTTCTGGATCAGACCTTTATGTCGAAGGCTCAGTGTGTGGCCCCCCCTAACAAAACCAACTGCTTCAGTCTGAACACCTAGGCAGTATCACAGCCCACACACAAATCAAGTGACTTGTGTGGCATATATGTATTCGGTGCCCCTTTTTACCAATATTTATGTATTCAAATAAACAAATACTGGTTTCGAGTTCCAAAAATGAACATCAATTCTGAAATGCAAATACATCCAGCTGACAAGTTCTGAATAGAATGACACGCATGTCCTAGATTCCTCAACTAGACACTATTTATCTTTGTTTATTGATGCTTAACTGTTATTTTCTTTACTCACATCCTAAAAAGATTAGCGTACTTCCTCTAATTTGTCAAATTAGGTCATCTTTCTCAGTATTAATTGAGAGGAAAAGCCAGTAGAACGACATCAATCCAACGACTTTACCAAATCATTCACTCAGTAGTAGCTATCCGTGATGTTTTTGATGGAGTTTTGTTCTCTGAGCTGAATGGTTTGGTCATAGAGCTTTCATCGTTCTTTTGAATGACATCAGTACAAACTTCAGATAGAAGTGAAGTGTTCGAATTTCTCCACATGTGATTCACACCTTGTTCAGTACACCTTAATGTTGATTAATTCTTACTGACTTTAAACCTGTTATTGTTTACTTCTTTGTTTTGGTTATATCTTCCATTAGTTTGATTTATATTCCTATATTTGTACATAATTTTCCTGCTTGGTTGATAAATTGGATCTATTTCAATGTGCTTGTTTATTGCTGATGTCGTTCAAAAAAAAAACAATGAAAGTTCCACGATCAAACCAACCAACTCAGAGAATAAAGCTCCATTAAAATCATCCACTTGATCTACAAATCTTCTCCAACATCTCAAGATCAGCGGTGTATACGTTAGCTTAGTGGTATTTATCTTAGGCTTCAATGGTTATTCATTTGAATTATATTACTTATTAATACTACTAACCTGTAATAGACTGAAGATGCTTTCTTTTCATAGTATTCTTTTCCTAATTACAACGAAAGGAAAATCATTAATTCATTATGATTAATATCAAATCGGTTTTGTGGATATAATAGTAATTTCAATGGTTAAGATCATGAGCCAGTTGAAGCTAGACCACCATGGAAAACCTGGAAGCACTGGACGGCCGTTTCGTCCTACTGTGGGACTCCTCAGCAGTGTGCGTCCATGACTTCGCTCCCTGGGAGACTCGAACCCAGGACCTACTTGTTTCGCGCGTGAGCACGTAACCACTAGACCACTGATCCGGTTGGCATCCAACGGTGCTAATGTCTAACTTCAAATAATCCGCGAAATTGAGTGACACATCCACCATTGTCTTCAGTGAGTTACTATCTCACAACAGACCTGGTTGAACTCCACTGGTCACTACTTCTCACTAGAACTCCAGGATATACCTCTTGAAGCCAGTCACTAGTGAGCATATGTTGATTAATATCAGATGGGTTTTGTGGATACTGTAGCAAATTCAACGGTGGTCTAGTGGTTGAGTGCTCGCGCGCGAAACCAATAGGTCCTGGGTTCGAATCTCGCAGGGGGCGAGGTCGTGGATACGCACTGCTGAGGAGTCCCACAATAGGACGAAACGGCCATCCAGTGCTTCCAGGTTTTCCATGGTGATCTAGCTTCAACTGACTCATGATCTTAACCACTGAACTCATTATGATTATTTTATTATATCAATTATGAAGTTCTTATAACTTGTGACCATTGTAACCTCTATTTCTCGTAATGATACCGCCAATTAGATTATAGTGATTTATCGACCGGATCAATGATGCATCAAATATATACGAGCAGTCTACAGTCTCGATCGATTCTTCTTTCTGATTAGCCCTGTCTATCTGTTGAGTCTAGAACAACAATCTCAGCCTCCATGATATGAATGATGTATTTCAAGCATACTCGGTTTATATACAAACCAAACAGACCACATCGTATTATAAAATGGAAAATAACATTTGTACAAGATCTAACCAAAAGTCGGTATGAATGTGGAAGACTGTAATGATCAGACTGGGCATACCTCAACAATGGTAAGTCGTATAATAATAGTCTATGAGTTAAGTTACATAACACTTATACAATATATGTATTGTATTGGTTTATAAATAGATCCCAATAGTTGCCATTCATTATTCTCATTGAGATATAACAGAGGTTAATCAGTTATTCAGCTAAAACAATAACCTATGTGAGCCTTTTGAATAAAATCAAGAGCGTATACTTTATTAAACTAACATATATCAGTCAGTCAGTCAGTAACAACGTAGAACTTCGTACGTACATACATCAGTTCGAGTTGCCACACCGTATTAGCACAGAAATGCAGTTGCCGAATCAAATTCCGTAGTGGTAGAGGTAGTAATAATAAAGGGCGGCCTGCTTGAGCTCACGGGCTACCTGTTCCTGCCATCAAGATATTTCAACAAGTTATCTATTTTTGTTCGTTTTAATATATCATTATGTTTATTAATCGCATGACCTATTCTGCTGCGTTTCTGAAAAGTGTACAACCTTTCGTTGTCAAAGTTACAAAAAACTCAATAAGAGACAATGTGGTTGCTGGCAATATACAGAGAAAAGAATGCACATTATTCAGATGTTCATTTACTGAACTGCTAACATCTGACTGGCGATCACTCAATTTTAATCGCCCGGACCGACCAAGAAGAAAGAAACGGAAACCTTGTTGAAATACTTTACGCTGAGAATTCCATATTGTACCAAAAATATAATATTGAATAAAGCTGATAATAATAATAATAATAATAGTAAGAAGTAAGCAAAACTACCCATTCATAAGTAGAATGAATTCAATGAATGATCCATTTTCTAAAATTCTTTATGTTTACAATCTAATACAACTAAGCTACAGTATTATGAATGTTAATGTACATATTCAATGAGTATGGTTGATAACTGCTTCTCTTTTTTTCTCATTACGTCATCTTAAAATAAGCTAAGATAGATAGTGGTTAGCAGTGGAATCTATGACAAAGCGCATTTCGTCCTTTTCTGGATTCGTCAGCCGGATGTTTGTTTAGTGAATTATTTCTTTTTAAGACATAAAATTTATCTTACGAAATCTTATCCTTAGACTTGTTGTAGTATATAAGACGTTGGTTGGAGGTAGTCAACAGGAAACCCCGGACCCTGGACGCTAGTCAGCAAGGTGTACCTGTAATCTTGAGAGAACTGGTGCTCCCAAAAGAAAACCACCTCCTTCTGTTTGAGCATCCGAGTAGTATCCCAGCTCTCACACAAATTGAATGATTTATGTGGTGCATATCTATTTGATGCCTCCTTGTATCAATGTTTCATTTACATGACTATTTTTACTATTTTAGATTAACTACTTAAAACAGAGATAAGTAGTATCAAATTGTATTAAGAAATTGATTCTATTTGTCAACTTACTATTGTTTTCTTTTTAATCAAGTTATAATCAAATTTATTCTGTCCTTGAATTCCAGTCGTTGTAAAATCTCCATCTTGATATTCACTAACAACAATCTCTTCTTTTGGATCCAATTGAATTAAATTGGTTAAGTTCTTTGTTATATCTACCTAAACAACGCGATTAAATATGTCATTTTATTATTTCACTGGTTGAAATCATGTGTTAATTGAAGCTAGACCACCTTAGAAAACCTGGAAGCACTGGGCGGTCGTTTCGTCCTAGTATGAGACTATTCAACAGTTCGCACCCACGATCCCGCCCCTTGCAAGATTCGAACCCAGGATCTATCAGTCTCACGCCAGGCACTTAACCAACTAAACCACTGAGCCGGTTGGCGTCCAATGGTGTTAATGTCTAACTTCAACTAGTCCACGAAGTTGCTCCTCCGTACACCATTGTCTTCAGTGAGCTGATATCTCACAACAGACCTGGGTGAACTCCACTGGTTAAGGCTTCTCACTAGAACTCCAGGAGTATCTTTTGAAGTCAGCTACTAGTGAGCAGATAATTATTATCAGGTGTTTTGTGGAAATTTTAATATTGACAAAACACTGAATTTTATATCAGTTTTGTAATATTGGTTTAATTGATTGATAATTTGTAGGTCGACACAGTTGAAGCTTGTTCCGTCTGTTAAGCCTAATGATTCTGACTTGTTAGATTTTCATGATTCTCAATAAAAGTTTGTTTCATTCAGTCAGCTATAATGTAGGATTAGGCATGTCCAAGTTACCATACCTCACTCATTAGCACTACAAGATGAACACCGGATTCATAGAAGTAGTTCATTCAATGGTGGTAATATATAAAAGAAAGATTGCGTATAAGGATATACTAAAGGAAGGAAGAATTAGTTCATAGAGAGAAAGATATAAAGCAATTTTAATCTCAGGATTTATGGGAAGACAGCGGAGTGTATACACCTACGCCATTGTGATCGATTCTGAGCCATGTCATCAAGAGTCTCTAATCATTGGTTACGACAGTCATATAGACCTTAACCAAGTAGTTTGCATCTACTAAAATGGCTCAGACTAGAAGTTAGTGACTTTATGAACTGATGCCATATTTTGATTTGGCCGCCCCTAACTTTCAACCAATCATCTCCAAAACTGGTCAGTAATGCACTTTGATGTGAATACCTTAATACCAACTCTTTTTTTTGTTTTACATTGAACTTACATTTGTGTTTGGATAAATTGCTTCAAATTTCATTCGTTTACCTACAAAAGAATATAGTTTACACATTAACAATTAATATTTATGGTCCATAAAGACGAATACGTTCATGTTAATGGTAAATAAATAATTAGATTGAATTCATTACTATCAGAAAGCGATTTTGTGGAGAGTATAGTAATTTGACAGTTGAATTCATGAGTCGATTAAAGCTAAACCACCATGGAAAACCTGAAAGTACTGGACGTCCGTTTTGTCCTAGTATAGGACTCTTCAACAATTCACATCCACGACTCCATTTACTAGTGACTGGTTTCAAGAGGTATTTCTTGCAGTTCTAGTGAGAAGCCGTGATCAGTGGGGTTCAGCTGTGTTTGTTATGAGATAGTAACTCACTAAAGACAATGGTGAACGGTGGCTCAATGTTGTGAATTGGTTGAAGTTGAATATTAACAACGTTGGATGACGACCGGTTCAGTGATCTATTCATAATCAACCTTCCTCTTCAATCATAATCAGTGATCTACAGATTAAGCGTTCAAGAGCGAGATCTGAGAGCTTGGGTTCGAGTTCCATGTGCGGGATCGTGCGTGTGCACTGCTAAGGAGTCTCATACTAGAACAGAACGGTCATCCAGTGTTCCTATGTTTTCCATAGTGATCTAACTTTGATAGACTCATGAATCCAACTACTAAGTTACTGTTACCTTGATTGATGACACTACTTGGAAATTCTAGGAATTTACATTTTTGTGCTCGTAAACACCTCTCAGCGTGGCTAAACAAAAATTTGATGAAGAAAGTGAACAGCTCGATATTGGCTTATTTAGTACAAACTGGTCATAATGCCAGTAAAAACCAATCCTATTTATAAGGTCAGTAATTTTTTTGCCAAAAACTTGTCACATTTAAAGTCTTTTAAACGGCTAAAGCAGTAACTATCCTGATGAAGAAACCGGAGCTAAGTGTACGGAGGAAATATCTTCAACCATTCCTCTTCCCCTGTTCAATCTCAAGGTCAATTATTCAATAGTAATCTTATCTATTGAATGACCTAATTTGACTATTGTACTTACGACCTTTCGTAGTCAACTATAATTGTCTCTGTTATCGTCATTCCCATATATTTATATTATTATTATTACTATTGGTTAAACATCATTATCAATCTCCCCTATATATGATTCATTTACTTTGGATTCATTCTACTATTGTTCCTCTCACCCTATCTGACCAATATTCATTCTGATCATGGATCTTAACATGGTGGGATTATCACTGATGGGCGAACCAATCAGATTTGGGATAACAGGTCTTGAATTTTGGCGCAAAATTCATTCATTCATTTAGCTAAATAACGTTTTTGCTATTATAACTGATATCAGTTCGTTATGAAAAACCCTAAATCTAATTTCTAACCATAACCATCAACCACAAATCACAATCGTTATTCTTCAAACTGTTGTATAATCCTAATTTAGCCTTAGTAACTAGGTCGATATTCTGAAAGTCACTTTAGCATCGCTCAAAGGTCATCCATAAATTATAATCTTATCGAACCTCAAGAGAATTTATCAATATGAATATTCTTCGATCAAATATTGATCTTTTGATCATGTTGATTTCATAACAAAAAAAAGGTGAAACTTACTTTTACAGTAAGATATAATTTTCAATTGGTTATGAATATCATTAGTATTGAACTGAAGATGTATTCTGGTATTGTATAAAAAAGATAAACAATAGTAGAGATGAAAAGAAAACTAAATAGTATATCAGAAGAGTAATAGTCATGAGTCAAATAAAGCTAGACCTCCATGGAAAACTTGGAAGCACTAGACGGTAGTTTCATCCTATTGTGGGACTCCTCAGCAGTACGCATCCACAATCCCTCACACGGGACTCGAACTTAGGACCTTCAATCTTGTGCGCGAACGCTTAGCCTTTAGACCACTAAGTCGATATCCAACGATGTGAATGTCTAACTTCAACCAATCCATGGTATCGCGCGAACGTCCATCATATGGGCCAGATAGGATGAGAGAAATAATAGTAAAATTACAAAATCAATGGAATATCTAGTGGAAGACTTTGTGTTTTTCATTAAATTATATGAAATTAAAAGGAAATAATATGGTGTGGTGAGCGCTAAGTAGGTTAGCCTTGTATCCGAGAGATCAATATTAATAATAAATGAATAAAGATAACAAAGAAAATTATATCTTGATATCATGATTGGATCAATCTTAGACCATCATGAAAAACCTAGAAGCACCGGACCGCTGTTTCGTTCTAGTATGGGACTCCTCAGCAGTGTATATACAAGATTCTCCACGTAGGACTCGAACCCACGACCTTCGGTCTCACTCATGAAAACCGTTGGATGCCGGCTCAGTGGTCTAAAGGTTAAGTGTTAGCGCGGAAGACCGAAAATCTTAGGTTCGAGTCTCATGTGAGGGATCGTGGATAAGTACTGCTGAGGAGTCCCATACTAGAACAAAAACGTCTGTCCAATGTTTGCAGCTTTTCAATGATGGTCTAACATTGATCTATTCATGATATCAAACTATAATTGTATTCATATTTCTCTTATCCTATCTGAACTATATTTATTCAGATCATGAATCTTATTGATGTAAAGCTTTAGTCTTTAAGATTTATCAAAGAATATTCAATCAAAACTAATTAGAACTCACTGATGATCAATATTACATTCATTAGAAGAATCAATTGTTGTTTTATAGGGATTCTCTAATTAATGAAATAGAAAAATTAAAGTGTAATACTGAAGATATTTGTAAAGATTGATTAAATGTATCAATGATATTTTGTCACTAATCAATTTCTTTTCTAAGAGTATGGAATAGCTTGGGTTCGAATTTCGTGTAAGGAATCGTGGGTACGGGGAATTCACCTAGAAGAGTTGGGAAACCCTGATTCCATACAAATGGTGCACATGGGCTCCAGTATCCTGAAGGAACAAATAACGTATGACCCAGTCGTTGGTCACCGTCTACCATGGGACTGCATCTCCTGATGTTGCTCCACTTGCTTCGGTTCGGGCATCCGGGCAGTATCACAGCCCACACACAAACCGAATTATTTATGTGGTGCATATCTATCTGGTACATCCTTGTACCAATGTTTATGTGTTTGAATAAAATGAAGCGCTCACTTCTGAGGAATCTCATATTGGGACGATACGGCTAACCAGTGCTTTCAGGTTTTTTAGAGTGGTCTAGCCTTAACTGACTCATGAATCCACAAAACCTTCTTCTGATAATATTTGGAATTCTTTAAGAAAATCCTACCAAACAATATACTGAGTATCGATAATAAGGATTTCTCAAGTTCTATGAATTAAGGATATGTCTTCACCATTATCTAATGTCATCTACAACTATCCACACGGATTATTTCATATCTATCTTTCGTTCTTTTTGTACTATATCTACACATAGAATCTTTCCTTTATATTAACACCATTGAGCTAACTGCTTCTATGAATCCCGTGTTCATCTTGCTGTGCTTATGAGTTATGGAAACTTGGACCGATGCATATATGTGTCTGGTCCTACGTTGTAATTGAGTAACTGGATCCGCTCTAATTCATAACTTGATGAAAACAATAGGTTATGAATACACCAAAGATACTTCGAACGTGATTAAAACTAGAAAATGAGTATTTTTTTATTATATCTTGAAGCATATTTTAGAATCACTAGTTCTAATAAACTTCACTCAGAGCCCTTCTAGATTTACTGCCGATCTCAAGCCCGGATATAAGAGGACGGTTGGGCATGGGGTAAGTGACTCCATCCTGTAGAAAACTAACTATTCTTTAATCTCAAACCGGCTTCCATATTCAAACTGACCTTTCTATTTAAAATATACATACTAGTTACTTTAAGATACTATTGCTATACTCACTTGATACTGTTTGATTTGTATCTTCCCATTAATGTTTAAGACTGCGACTGACCAGTCTCTTATTGGCATATGTGCAAATTGTGCGTATGCCTAGATATTGCCTTAATTCACAAGCTTTTTTAAGCAATGATGGATAGTGGCTAGCAGTGGAATCCAGGACGCGCGTTTCGTCCGATTTGGGACTCGTCAGCTAGACGGGAAGATACAAGTCAAACAATACCAAGTGAATTTAAATTCACTCCATTGCACAAGCAAGTGGCTATCAGGATTCAGTAGTTGAGTGGATAACGTGATGGCGTTTGAAGCGAATGGTACTGGGTTCGAGTCCCAGAGTGAACATCAACTCTGAGATGCAGGTACATCCGGCTGACGAGTCCGAAATAAGACGAACTGTGCGTCCTGGATTCCACTGCTAGCCACTATCCATCATTACTATTGCTATATTATATAATCTATAGAAATTCAAAAAAGGAGATTGTAACCTACGTTGGTTAACTTGATAATCAATCGAGATTTTGTTGACTGTTCCAGTTTTAGGAATTATTGCTAGTAAATGTTCAGTACGATTTAATTTTGGTAAGAATTTTCTTTTCTTTACAGAAGATTTTTTACCTTGGGATATTGTATTGATAGGAGTAGCATTGATGTTTTCATGGTTTGCTTGGTTTCTATTAAGATAAGGGATAATAATAATAATAATAATAATAATAATAATAATAATAAAGCTGTGTTTGTAGCCAGAAGGTGATAGAATTTGGAAATATGAATCATTCGGTTATAGCTAAGTAGTTTAAAAGCTAAGCAGTTAGCTACAACATAGAATCAGGCACATACATATATCGGTTCAAGTTGCTACATCATACTCATTAGCACAACAAGATGAACACTGGATTCATAGAAGTAGTTACTTCAGTGGTAGAAATGTATAAAAAAAGATTGTGTATAAAGATATGATGCAGAAAAAAAGGTATAAAGTCACTTAAATCTCACGGAATAAGGAAAGAGAGAGGAGTGTATACACCGACGCTATTGTGATTGATTTTGAGTCATGTCACTCAGAATCTCCAACCAATGGTTATGATAGTCACGCGGACCACAACCACTTGCTGATGAACATTATCTAGTTTCCATTGTCATAAACGCCGTTTCATACGAACAGAAAATAGACTTTTATTGCTTCCTGGTCTTTAATGGTAACTCAACTGGAATCAATCCGTTAAGAAGATTCAATATAAATGTGACTGGTATTTCGCGAGGTTGACATATATTTCATTTGTTATCCCATGATAACAGATAAACCATACAGATACGTGCCAACTAGCAGGAATCCTAGGTTAGCTGATGATTGATCTCATCCTCTTGATAATGCACGTATTACATCTCAGGTCAATCTAGCTATTAGTACCAGCGTTATTTGATCAGTACATTCTGTTTCATACTGTAGACTAGGAATCATAATATTTGTTACTAGACAGCAAAAAGTTATTTCACTGGAAATTCTTATAATTAGGAAGTAAACGTTTCTACACACTGAACTCTGTAGAGCATTCAAACAATCGCTTTTTCAACCAAAATTAAGTTTGCCATTTCATGTGGATAAGGCTTAAAATATCTAACCAATTACTGTTAACAAACTAGTCATACAATATTTTATGACTGGAATTTAGACTTAGATTGAATAGTGTTTAACCACTGAAACCCTTTAGCTCAACCACTAGCCCTTCTGGGGCTACTGCTGGACTTAAGTCCGGGAAAAAGAGAAGGTCTAGAGATAGGACCAGCAACCTCACCCGTAGAAAACAATCTTGTTAAAAGAAAGATAGTCAGAAAAACAATTTAAAGTGTTTAAACTCTGTCCTGAAAGTTGAAGGATCACTTTTTAGAAAAAATTGTGGCGCTTCCTAGTGAAAGCCGATATTCACCGGAAATCACGAGGCCAATGAATATTATCCAATGTCATATACCAACCAATGATCACAAGTAATGCCCGTTAAAAGGAGCCAAATATATTTCATAGAATGATAGCTAAACTTTACCTGAATAATTTATTTTTCTGCTCAACAAACTTGAGTACAAAAGGTTTCGATTCGTTAAAACCAAAACCACTTTTTTCGTCATGATATAATCTACTATTGTTAACTAAATCGGGGTCCAGTTTGCATTTAAGTACGTTTAAGTTATCTAGTATTCTGGACGTAAGAGCCGTTGATGTTAAACTTTCGTCATGTTGCTCATATTTTGAAAAGGATGTTCCCACTCGAGTTTTATCCATTATTATTATAGCCGTACTATGAATAAAACAAAGATGGATGAACGCATTTTGATAATTATGTTCACTCATTAAAGATAAATGAATCATTTGGAAATACGTTAATATTCTGATCAATATCAAACACGTTTGCCCGTTTAGAGATGTCATCATCATGGTATTCTGATTTCAGGTGACTTAAATAATCATCAAGCGTAAATATTTGAGTCTAAAAGGAAAGCGTTACCTCTCAAGATCATGATGACTGATTTTACTTGGAATCAAATTCAAGTGTGGATTTCTTAGATGATGTTTTATATTGAAGTAATTCACGTAAGATAACGACGTACAGACAGTCACATATCTTCTCTTTTTACTTTCACGGTTGAACACAAATAAAAGCATGCATGTGGAGGATAGACCTTTATTTAATTAGATACCAAATTATTTCCTGACGTATATTTCAGAGTTAAAGTGGGTAAATTGGGGTAGAAACTGTCGCTACTAGGAGATAACTCATTTTACTACAAAAATTGCTGCTCGACAGAACAAATGATCAAAACTCAACAAGTTCAATAGTAGTAACAAGGACGGAATAATTCAGTGATATATAACTGAGTTGTTATTTTTCATGAATTCAAAGAAATATACATATATATCGCAATCTAAGTACCTATTATCTTCCTTAAGCTACAAAAAAATGTGGCTTTTCATTTAGTTATCAGGATGTTGTCAACTACACTGACAGCATTAACAGTATTATGGTTATTAAATTAGTTGGAGAATAATGACACGATTTTCGGAGAAAATATGGATTAATGTAGTAAAGGTTCTACAAGGTATTTAATGTTATTCAGAAACTTAGAATCTGCTGAAAGACAAAGAGTGAATACATCCCTCCTACTGTAGACAATTCTAAGCCAAATCACCCAAAGCCTTTAACCTTTTGTAACAATAGTAGCGCGGACACGAACTTGGTAGTCTTCATTTTTCTAGTTTTCTCAGCGTAACGGTCAATGAATTCATAGATTGATCATAGACCTTGATTTGAGCACTACTAGACTTCTTTCGGCTTTCTTCTAGACCAGAAAACATCGTGCTCCGAGGTAGGTGGTAGATGGGCACACACAGTATATGTACTAACCAATTAAGTTAAACATAAATATAAAACTTTTTAATCTTTCGAGCCAACTGCTTAATGCAATTTATTTCTTTGAAGTCGCTGAGACAAATGAAATTCACTGGAACCACAGGATTACAAATTTATACTAGCAGGAATTTATATATTAAGGATATTATGGATGTATTACAAACCCACCTACATGGAATTGAAATGAATTATATCACTTTTTGAAGTTTATTAAAGATGGATTTGCAGCTAAGCGATCTGCTCCTATTTGTTGGCAGGTATTAACCCACAAACATTTATAATAACTCCAGAGCTAATTTTTCAGTCTAAGAGCAATAAAATATTTTATAGCAAGGCTACATCGTTATTCTCTAGTTATAGAAACTTGAATTTAACCACTGTAGTTTATGGAGGAATGGAATTCTACTTATCGAAAAGTTCTCAATTGCCTTTAATACGACACCAACCTGTTTCCGTCATGTCAAACTCTTTTTAGTGAATTAGCTAAAATGTTTATGGCTTTGTATACTGTGTTCGTACGCCCTAAACGTGAGTACTGGATGCAAGCGGCTAGCCCCTGCTTAAAAAAGGCAGTGAGCTTTTGGAAAAGGTTCAGAGAACAGTAACTAAGCTGATTCCCGGAATAGCGAAGCTCCCGTATGATGCTCGACTGGCCAAGCTAAACTTATTCCCGTTGTCGTATCAAAGAACTAGAGGCGATTTGATTACAGTTTTCAAATTGCTTGGTGATAAATTTGCGTCTGATATGTCCTCATTCTTATTGTCTTCGAAAACAGAGAATTTACGAGGACACTCCAAAAACGTTCACAAGCCCAGGACAAATTACTTGTCGACTGACTATCGACTTTCCCATCGAATCATCAACGAGTGGAATTCATTACCTCAATACGTGGTTGAGGCTCCATCTGCCGACTCTTTCAAAAGAACTTTGGATAAACTGAGAGACCGCCATTGTCAGGACTAACACAGGCCGTCAAGCATCCTGTCCTTTCCAAACTGAAACTAATTTGTGCTTGATTATTTATCAGGTTCCAAAATGAAGTGTGTGATCATATTAACATCATTATGTATGAGTTATATATCGTGGTTATGGTTCAAACGTTTCCTCAGGTTTGTTTCACTATGAACGTTTATAACGTATATCGTAAATCTCTGCAAACAGTGCCAACACTTTTCAGATAAAGTGTTATCGTTCGATAATACAAAATGGAACTATGGAGCTCCGCTATGATAAACGCTTTTGTCAAGAAATTCACTAACTAAAAAATATGCGTGTATTTTTCTGTAACTTTTAGTATTGAGCGATATAAAAAGTGAAGTTGAAGAACTATGAATTATCATATGAAGGACGAAAATTTAGGTGAATAAATTATCAATAGTGGCAAATGTTTGTATGATTATACTGTCAAACACAAACATAATTATTTATATTATTCTTGTCATCCAGACTATAATTACCCCGGCGTATAACATGAACTAAAACAAGCCTTATCGTTGTGTTTTGCGTGTGAAATTCGGTTACTATGCTAATGACGATTTCATGACAGTTTTCAGTGAAACGGAAATTTAAAAAGGAACCTCGGGACACAGTACTTTGAAATCACCCATAGATTCGTTGACCTTGAAAACCACAACTACGGTGGAACGTAAAAACCTTTGTAGGGTAAAACAAAAGCAGTTGCAATTTGGAAAAGACACAAGGCTAGGTGGCTTACGTTAGCCCTGGAAATGTTAGTCTCTCGGTTCATCCAACATTTTTTTAAAAGAGCCAACAGACTCAGCTTCAGTCATGTACTGAGGTAATGAATCCCACTGGGTGTTGATTCGATGGAAAAGTTGATAGTCAGCTGACAAGTAACCTGTTCTGGGTTTGTTACCTTCCTTGTGGAGTCCTTTATTTATAAAAGAAGAAAAATGATGGCATGTCAAGTGCAAATTTATCATTAACAAATTTGAATACTGTAATCAAGTCATCCCCAGTTTTTTGATTTGTCATTGTGAATCGGTTTAACCGGTCGAACATGATACCGTCTCTCCACTATATCCAAAATTATTTTTCGATGACGTATGAATAAAGATTAATTGATATATTTGTTTGAACGGCTCAAAAAGTACGGCAAAGTTCCAAGAGGTTCTTAAGATGCCGAAGAGATTCCATCTAACCAGAACCTGATAGAGCCTTCTAGAATATTAACGTGGCGTGCTACGACTAGATGATTACATAAATTTTCTTCTTGCTGAATAACTGAATTATATCGATGCTATAGCCAATGATAATACCTATAAATGTCCATGTTTTTCTATGAATATTTTACTCTTACTAGTTATTAACTTACCCTACTTCTTCTGTCTTTTGATTTGCGACTGTGGGGTTCGACACGTTCAACTGCTGTTAGTTGCATATCGTATAATGCCGTGATTAGGTAGAAGACGTAAAAATATACACTTTTTCATGAAAATTTGACTACTGAATCCATTAGTCGTTAGGAGAAATCTATTACTTCTGATTTTGTACGAATATCATTTTATTTTTGTATTTATTGGATATTTTTGTACTGCGTTTTTTGACAGGTTAGTAAATCTTTACATTCTAAACTTAAGTCAAATGTGTTAAATGTGGTCAACGAATTCTTTTTCCGATTCGTGGAAATCACATCACCACCTAGTGTGTTAAGTCCTGTCGTTACATAATTCATTATGAGGAGCACATTATGTAACGGATTTATAAAAATGATAATATAGTGCTTATCGGCAAATGATGTCTTGTTATTACGCTGATCCTCGCAAATTGTGGTTCACTCTAAGTCACCGCTATCAGCCGTAACTTGTTGTTCTAGTCACCCATGAATTCCTGTTTGCCCTGCTTGTGGTGGAAAGTTGGTTTTCATTCATAAGCTAAAGTTGCTGTATAAATAGAATCACTATCTTTTTCAATTAAGTTCCACATTCTCAGTTCTCTAACATAATTGTGACATATTTGCAGCCCAGTGTTATTTAATTAGTCATATGCCATTACACAAAATTATATTCTTTCCTGAATCTTCAGTGTCCTAACACAACCATAGACATAAGTTTGAATTTATCGATCACCGTACAGAGCAAATATGATGTAGTTTTTGTATATTGCTGACTGATATTATAAGCTTACTCATGAAATACATCGTTACTCAAGTATTCTCATACCCATTCCGAGAAAGATTTCCCTCTTGCATCGTAGTCATTGGTATCTGTCATTCGTGAATGGGGAAAATAAAATTGGTTGCCGCTAATCAGATCTCGGATTAGCTTGACAAGTTGACACAATCAGCCTGAATTCCTTGTATTTTTTCCTTCTAGTTCATCGGACATTTTGAATTCATTGACTCAAACGTTTACTATATATTAGGATATACGTAAAGGGTCATGAACAAAACTATTAGTTGTTTTAGCTTGGGGTGTTCTTGCCGTTTTGTCATTAATGCAGGTTTTCAGAGAGCAAGAACTAATTCATTTTGTGTGCTGTAACACTGAGAGAAGAGAATTTATTTTATCCGTCATTATAGCGTAAAAGCATGTCTTCAGGCTTTGAGTGAATACGATGAGGATGTTTGTTAAATCCACACACCTAAATCGAGTGAAGCCATAAACCGTATTATTACTACAATCTGCTGTGAACCTGTAAACAACATAGTCGGTATATGGCTGCGCGAAGCCGGGATAAATCCTAATACTACAAGCGAGAATGCCTATAAGTGAGTAACAAAACGGTAAAAGCTATGATCGCTAAATGTTGTGGATTAATTGAGAATGGACATAAGCGCTGTTGGATGTCAGCTACGTAGTCTAACTCCTGGACGTTCACACGCGACATCGAAGGCCTTGAGTTAATGTCGCACATTGAAATGAAGAAGCTGTTCAGTATTTACGAAATTTCAACAATGGTCCAAGATTGATAGGTTCGTGATGAAGAAACTGGACATTAAAAATAAAGTTTCATCTTGAACGACAAAACAGTAGTAACGGTCGCGTAATGAAAGTTGCCAGGACGTTCGTGCCATGGTAGCCGACATAAATAAATTAAATATGTTCTTTCATTGGTGGCTGCGGAAGTTATCCAATTAAGACGTCATTGTAAATTAGTCGGCTATTTGATTTTGGTTATTATTCTATCCTATTAATTAACGCTGGTATCAACTATAGCATTGATTTTCACCGGTTTACAAAGCTGAAAGAACATGATGAAAATGTAGAACATGTTCAAGGGTCCTTATCATAGGATTTTACAATCTGTGGAAAATATTTGATCACGAAATTCATACGTAAATTACGTCATTTGCACTCCATCCTTGAAATGTCCTTTACACACTTCGTCATTCCTTCAATCTTGTTGTTATTTCAATCGTTCTCTATTTTACTTTCTATTCTCATGATTTTAAACTTCTACTGGTATGCATCCTACTTTCTGTTCGTGTTTTGTGGGACTGATATCTGTCCGCATAACCGGCCCATTCCGTAAAATGACTGGTGTCGTTTAGGATGCTTAGCGAATTTAAAACTCCTAAGAGGACCTCGAAGTGATCTGAACAGGAACACAGTGATTTGCATGCCCAACTGAAATCAAATTATGTGGATACGCAACTATCTTCTATTTCTCTACGTTGGTAGCTGCTTCAAACTTGCTTAGTTTGAGATCGAGTGATTGATTCTCCTTCACAGAACTGACGATTGCAGATAAAAACTAGTCATCAGTGAATATATGATCACGATTTGTCTACAGATTCATAGACGTTATACAGCTTTTTTAATCTGCTAAGTTTGAAGCTATCATGAGTTCACTTAATCTGCGAACGAGAACAAAGACTCAGTGACCGAAGACTAGCAAGCTAGCTATTGATGCGTCCCAACACCGCAGATACAAAGCTTACGTCTAATACTCAACCAAGCAGTTTTAATCCTACTAATACTGCACCATCAGTTGATGGTATCGCTAAAAGTATCTCCGAGATTCATTACGATCCGGAATCCAATGTCACGTTTGATATGTTGTTTCAAAGTTACGAAGACTTATTCAAATTCGACTTTGCTAATCAGGACGATGCTTGGAAGGTCCGCTTGCTGCTTCGAAAGTTGGGTATTAGTGAACTAGACAGGTATTGCAACCTAATTCTGCCTCTAAACCCACGCGATCGCTCATTCTCGGACGCTGTCCAGTCATTGAGCCAACAATTCGGAGCCAACTCCGCACTAATCAATGCGCGCTATCGATGTTTAAAGCTCACTATGAACGAAGATGCTGACTTTTTCACACACGCGGGTATCTTCAACCGAGAATGTGAACGCTTCCGGTTGAATTCGCTTACGGAAGACCAATTTAAAGCCCTCTTTCTCATCTGCAGCCTTCAATCGCAGAAGTTCAGTGACATTAGAACACGTTTGCTAAGTTGATTGGACCAAGACCCAAAACTAACTCTTAATGATATTGCAAACAAATATCAACGCCTAATCAATCTACAGCGTGACACTACGATGGTCCAGCGTGGTGCTTCAGATCGTGCCGAAGTTCATGTGGTCGAACAACCACCCAACTCGCATAAATCTGCCTCAGTGACATCGGTCGACAGACAAAAACAAATCCTCCTGCCCCATGCTGGTACTGTGGTGCATGGCATTTTGTTCGAAGCTGTCCATATAAACAACATCGGTGCAGGAACTGTAATGCGGTGGGTCATAAAGATGGTTTTTGTCGAAAAGAGAAGCCGAGCAGCTCCAAAGGTACCAGAAAGCCTACGCCTAGATTTAACATGAATTCATTGAGTATAATAGCAAGCTGTTAGTACTGAATTCCATTTGAGAGGAAATTTATTAACCTTAATATTGATGGACGCCCGTTTAGGTCGCAAATAGACACTGCATCTGACGTAACGATTCTCCCACGAAAATATTGGATCAGAATAGGAAGATCACGCATGGTTCCAACAACACAGAAACCTCGAACTGCATGAGGTGATTATCTACGTTTGTTGGGACAACTAGATTGTAAAGTGTCTTTTCAGGATTCGACGTTTGCCGGGATATGCTACATCACACCAGCTGATCTTCATGTACTTAGTTTAGTCTGATTTGACTGGCTACATCTAGCTGACGCTCTGTTAATAACTGTATGCCATCTGGTGAAACAACCTCATGAACCTGAAGCATATTTGAAAGAACTAATGACAAAGTTTTCAACCATTTTCCAGCCTGTATTGGGTCAGTGCACTGCTATGAAAGCAACACTTCGGTTGAAACCTGGAGCTAAACCTGTCTTCCGTTCAAGGAGACCAGTGCCGTACGCAGCATTATTGAAAGTTGACGAAGAACGTAACCTCCTTCAACTACAGGGAGTTATTACACCTGTTTCTTATTCTGCCTGGGCATATGAGGACGCGACACCGTTCGTGGGGGAGGATGAACCCGGAAATCTTAAAGTCCGGATTTCAACTCCGGATCTTCAGAAAAGGAGGGGTGTGTTATGCCCCGATATGAATTATGAGTGGTAACTTTTGGGATCCATTTGTAGAACAATACTGTATAATTGTTAATTAACTAAACTATTCTTATCGATTAAATGTTAAATATTTCAATGGC